TCGTAGACGACTATAAGCGTACGCTCGGGCTAGTACCGGCATTCGGTTTAAAAGTCTGCCGTCGACGCGATCTATATAGGGCACTATAGTAGCGCGGTTGTTTCGCCGGTAATAGGGTCTACTAGCTCTATAGCTAGAATCTTTTCTTGTGCCTTTATATGCATCGCTGCCGTTTGCTAGTTACGTATCCGCTCGGCCGTAAGTGCCTAGTCTAAGGGATACTAACCTAGTAGGTCGTCGCGATTTAGGTACTACTCTATATTGTCGCAGCTCGCGACCTAAGCGATCTAGTCGCAGACTGCGATAAGGTTAACGTTAGTATTATCCTATCTAGGCATGTCTTTAAGTACCTCGTATAAAGTGCTAATTGCGTTAGAATAGAAACCGTACTTTACTAGTACGCAGAATAGCGGCGCCGCCGCCTAGACGTAGTTTCCGCTATATAGCGCTCTTATCTCCCGGTAATTAGTTATACCGATATTAAGTCGTAATAGCGTTCGGATAGCGTAATAGATGTCGTAGTTCCGTATATATATAGGGATGTCGTCTAGGTCGTAGAAAAGCTTCGTATACTAGGGGTTAGGGAGTATAACGACTGCGCCTTCGTCGCTAGCGTCGGATACGTCGGGCGCTTAGTCGAGGAACTAGCAGAATTCTAGTACGCTAAAGAAACAGGCCTACTCGGAGCGGTCGTCCTTGTCGTACCTACGAAGGCTCGTATTTTCCTAGAGTATAATCTTAATACGTCGTAATAAGTTGCGGTTTGTTACGCTAGGCTCCGGGTCGAGTAGTAGTAAGGCGAAGTCCGTAGCTTCTATATAGTCCTACGCGCGGATGCGCGTAATAAAGGCGCGATAGGAGCCGTACTTATATAGGAAAAAATCGGCGATCGTAATTAGGTAGATCTTAGTAGCGCGTCCGCAAAGAAGAACTCGTAGGATCGGCGTATTATAGATTCGCGTCTAGATCTTAGCGCTTATAAACTCGCCGACGTAGTCGCGTAGCGGCTAGTCTAGTTCGCGGTATACTAGTGCTAGTACCTACTCTACTAGGATACCGTAATTAAGTCTCTACGCTTCTTCTATCGGCGTAGTAGCGTAGTCGTTATATAGCTCGAATTTAGGCTCTTAGGAGGCGAAGAATAATAGGGACTTATAGCGGCGTTCCTTTAGCTAGGTCTAGCTAGGGTCGGACAATTCGTCCTAGCGGTATACGTATAAGGCGACAGGCGGCAGGCCGTAGTCGTTATTCTAAGGGCGGTAGCGTACTATCGCGGTAATATCGCTAGGCGTACCGGCGTCGCTCGATATAATAGGGTTGCCGACGGGGTAGCGGTATATTACTAGAGGGCGTGCGCAGTCGTAGGTTCGCTAGGGTAGGGGGAGGTTAGTATCGTATTAAGTTTAATATATGCGTAGCAGCTAAAGATTTTTAGGGCGTTACTAGGGCGTTCCGCTTTATTATAACGCAAACTTTATCTCGCCTACGCTACGCCATTTACATATACGGTACGGCCCGTCGGATTAGAGTAATAATAGGGGAAAGATAATAAAGTAAACTATTTGCGTTTTAAAAATAAAGTAAAGTAAGGTGCGATTTAAAATAAGGTAAAGTAGGGTACAATTCAATTATAGACAATAATGCTATAACGTAGCGTGCTGCGATAGAGATGCCTATTATTGCGTATAGTGCTGCTTAGTTAACCTTCTAGGTAGCCGTTCTTTAGGAGTTACGTAAGCTAGGCCTCTAAGAAGGCTAAGCCTATAGTTCTCCTACTATTAACTGCGGCGCGTTTAGGGACGGCGCTGTCGGTGCCTGCTATTATAGCGCTTGCTAGCGTAACGCTTACTATCGTAACGCTTATTATAGGTAGAGGCGGTCGTACTCCTAGACAAGTTCCGCTAAGTCGCGGAGGTTATCGATATCGTACTAAACGTTGTGCGCGTAACTATAGCTACGCTACTTAACTAGGTACTGTGTTTTGCCTCTTAAGATCCTACGTCCGAGGAGCTTTTCGACCTTGTAATATAGCGCTTTTAGGTATAGATAGTCGTTATCGAAGGGTGCTTCGTCTACTAGGCCCGGCTTTAGCATCTCTCGGTCGTATAGGTTACGGCCCTTAGGGTATAGTTCTAGCTACAAAACTAAGATTATAGGATAGATACGCATTACTAGGGGGAGGTCGAGCTCGTACGCGAGGTTGCTAACTAGGCGTAGTACCTTAAATAGTCTAGTACGCTATACGGAGAGCTTGCGATTAGGGTTCCCTAGCAGGCGGTATCCCTTATATAATTTAAGTAGTACCTTTTAGCCTATTTTAAAGGAAATGGGGCGATGCTTGCGGTCGTATCGGTCTTTTATTATCGCTGCCGCCTACGTAAGAGAGTCTACTACCTAGTCGCGTGCCTCCTATCTTAATGCTAAGTAGTCCTTAGTAGGGAGCTCGGTTAGGGGGTTTAGCGCGTCTAGGTTCGTCTTAAATCCTTAAATTAGAATATTAGGTACCTCTCTAGTCGAGGCATTTCTAGCGTTATTAAGCTCGGCCTAGATATACGGAAGTGCGTCCGTCTAATTAGCATCTAGATAATTAGAGGTAAAGAATCGTAGAGCGATTTCTACGGTCTAATTAGTTCGCTTAGACTAGCCGTCCGACTAAGGATAGTACGCCGTCGTTGCGAAGAACCTCGTACCTAACTTCTTAAAGGCTGCTTTTATAAAGTTACTAAGCTAAATAGGGTCCCGGTCGCCGATTATAATAGCCGGAAGGTTGCGTTCTATTTCGACGTAGCCCTAGATCTAGTCGCTGCCGTATTGCTACGCTATCTACGTTAATTTGCACTTGTATAGCATAACGCGCTTAGAGTACTTATACGTCTCGGTAAGGAAACTATTATAGCCGTCTTTGTTAGGTAGTAGGCCGTAAACCTAGTCCGTAGTAATAGCGTACTATAGAATAGGCTAGTATTTAATCGGTTGCAATTTACTGTATAGAGGATAGCGTAGCGTCTAGTTTAGGATATACTCGGAGCAATAAGCGATATACTTAGAGACCTCGCGCCCGAGCCGGCGTATATAGAAGCTAGCGTATAGGCGAGCGTAAGTGCGGTAGTAACCTACGTAGTAATAGTAATTATAGGCTATTTAGAAGACTTCCTTATATAGGGAGCGGGGGATATATAGCCTCTCTCTACCGTCGGTGTCGTCCTTAAAATATATAAGGTCGTCGCGTAGGAAAAAACAAAGTCCTAATAGGCTCGACTCGGCCTCGCCTATAATATCCGCTTCCTCTTAATTAGGGTTGTCGTTAGCGTCTAGGGTCCTCTCCGCGGCGGCTTATAGGCGGCGTTCCTCTATAGCGTTTAGCTAAGCTAGGATTGCGGACTAATGCGGGTCCTTAGTATATCCCGCCTTTAAGTCGTCCTTAAATTCGGTAGCGAGTTCTACGAGTACGGAGTAGAAAACTATAGGCTCGTTAGAAGTATACGTTCGGCCGGAGTACTCGTCGATTATAGTAGCGTAAAAGCAAATCGCACCCTCGCTTTCGTATAGATATATATAGTACGCGTCGATTATATTATTCGCGGGCGCCGGATCGTCGTATACTAGGGGATCTAGTATATTATATGCTTAATCTGCTGTCCGGTTAAGATCCGCTACGAGCCTACTTAAGGCGTCCGGTATTCTATAAAGGCGTCCTAGGCGGTAGTGCACCTTAAGCTTAGGGTACTAAGAGAGGTACTAACTAGCCTATACTAGGCGAAGGTTGAGCTTATCCGTAGACGTAGTCGTTATAAGGCTCGCTGCCGTAGTAATGCCTAGGGCCGCTATATAGTCGGAGAATACGTATACTAGCTTGCGTACCGCCTAGAGGATTATCCGTGCCTTACGTACCGTCTAGACTAAACCGCTAACCTCGAGTTCTATAGCTAGATACCGCTTTTCTACGTCTGTAAGTGCTTTACTAAGGTACATAATAACTTATACCTAATCCGCCGGGAAGCGTACGGCCTTACTATTCTCGATAGTTAGTTCTAGGTCTCCCTTAACGTAGTATACTACTGCGGCGAATCCTCCTACGTAGGTATCTAGGTCGATATATATAGGGCGATTAGGGTCCGCGTAATAGGAGAACTTAATATTACAGTATATCTGTCTAAGGATGTCGAAGGCCTTATGCTCGGTTTCTAGCGATTTATCGGAGTCGAAAGCTAGGGTCCTTATAGCGTAGCGTTTGCGCTTATTTCCTTTATTAGCTAGGCTAAAGCGTAAGAGCTCCTTCTTGCGGTTCTCGAATAGCATCGTAATTATAGAGTAGTATAGAATATGCTAGCGTTGCTAGCCGGTTAGTCCTAAATAAAATTCGATATCCTTTAGCGTCGTAGGGAATTTCAAGTCTAGGATAGCCTAGACCTTTTCCTTATAAGTAGTATATCCTAGTCCTAACACTCGTTAGCCTAAAAGCTTCGTAGATAGATATACGAGGAACGACTTATACGGTGCGATACTAATGTTCTTGCCTGCTAGGCACTCGAATACGGCGTTTAGATACTATAGGTACTCTTCGAAGGTGCGGGAGTAGATAACAATATTGTCGATATAAGTACGGTAGTAGGATTTATATCGCTTAAGGATCTTGTTAAGCTAGCGCTAGATATATTATACGCTATTCGAGTAACCTATAATAGCTATATACATCTATTCCTAGCCGCGGTAGCTGTTAATCGCGAATTTGCTACGGTCCTTTTCGGCTACTACCTATTAATAGAAAAACGCGACGGCGTCTACTATTATAATATAGGTAGAGCCGCGTAGCGCCTTAATAATGTCCTCTTGTCTAGGGAGCGGATAAGAATCCTTAACTGTAATCTTGTTTAGGCCTCTAATATCTACGACTGTACGTCCTTTACGGACTAGCTTGCCGTCTACTATTATTGTTTTCTAGACTACGAAGACTAGGAACCTAAATTGAGTAGGCTTAGTAGTAAAGGATATCTTTCCTTATGCATATAGCGGGTCGAACGTCTTATTTACGACTTCTTTATCGGGGGCGCAGAGTAGGTACGCTACTATAGGAACTTTATCGTTCTTATAGCCTAGCTTTAGCGTAACTTCTAGGTAGTTAGACTTAGGAATGTCTACCGTAGTACCCTTATCCTTCTATAGGTCCTCGTGCTTCTTTACTACGGCCTCGATAAGTTATACCTACTCTTCGGTACCGTAGGCCGTTACGCTATTAAAAAGCTAGGTCTCTTTTATAGGGTTCGGCAGGTCCGGTAGCGGAAGGCCGGCTGCGCCGTAATCTTTAGGCGCGATATAGTAGCAGCCGTAGTAGTTACACTCGCGTATATACCCTATCTTCGTATATTGTAGTAGAGTCTATAGCTAATCCGTATCGTTACGGACTTATACGAAATTTACTATAGCGTCTACGACGGTAGCGTAGATAGTTAGGGCCTTATTCTTAAGCTCCTAGTTTTACGGGTAGAAGGCTACGTCTCGATCTGTAGGAAGGTCTATTCTAAACTAGACAGGCACTAAGGTTATAGTCTACGGTACTAGAACGACGTTCTTATCGCTAGAGTGTATAACCGTACAGAACTTAACGTAATCTTTGCGGCCTACTAGTAGGGGAATCTTCGCCTTTTTATAGGAATTAATCGTTGCGGTACGGTATAGTATATTAATCTTAATGCCCTCTAGGCCGATAATATCTATTGTTATAAGAAACTTAGCGCTAAGCTCCTTAACGACGTGTACCTTATAACGCATATAGGCGATAACCTTAGAGCCCTTAACGATTCCCGGTATCCAAAAATCGAGATCTACGTACTCGCTAATGTCCGTCGAACCTACGCCCTTAACCTTTAGTAGAGCTACTAAACGCTTACGCTCGATGTCCGGGCGTATCTAGCGTAGGAAAGCCTTATCGATAAGTAATATAGTAGCGCCTGTATCTAGGCAAACCGCGTATTCCGTGCCGTCCTTCTATAGGCGCACGACTATACGCAGATAATAATAGCTTCGAAACGCGTATCCTCCCTTAACCTTTAGCAATATAGCGGACTTAATAAGCCTAGCGTCCTCCTCTACGCTATCCTTCTTAGGCGTTAGCTCCGTAGCGTACTTAGTGCGTCTATAGTTCTATAAGAGATTATTACTATCGAACTTTGCGCTATAATTTGAGTATAAGAACTTTAAAGGCCGTATCGTAGCGAAGGGTTCTATAGCTAGAGGAAGGTGCTTGCCGACGTATAGGGAAAAGGGCGATAGTAGCGGAACTTCGCTATAGTATACTAATACGGAGTCCTAAGAAGAGGCGTTATTATCTACGTCGTCTAATCTATAGTAGATGTCTACCTAGTCGTTAAAGTACGCCGGTATAGAGTGCAGGCTTACTAGCCTCGCTAAGTAGCGTAAGCTAGATCGTAGGCGTAAGTATAAATGCGGCTATAGGGTAGATATAGGCTCTTCGACTAGAGGCTCCGGTACCTGCTTATTAGCGTAATAGTTGCGCGGGGCCTTATTGCCTTAGCGGCCGCGTTCTTGCTAACCCTAGGTGTCGCGTACGTCGTTTCGCGTACCCCTATCTTATCGTCGTCTACGATTAGCATTCTTGCTACTACGTGCTTCGTAGCCCCGATTATTATTACGTAGCTCTACCCGATTGTTACGGTTAGAAACGTACTCTTTTTAGCGTCCTTCCCCCGCTAGGGCTTGCCTATCGTTTCCTTAATCCCGGCGCTAATACTAGTTTTAATTAGTATAGCTACTATTTCTAGGGCGCTTATTGCCGTAGCCGCCGGCGTAACCGCGACCTAAATTGTCGCGATATCCGCGTGCTGCTACGGCGTACCGATCGTCGAACCTACTAGCGTAACCGCGACTAGAAGTATCGCGATACGCGCCCGAAGAATCGGCGTACCGGTCGCTATTACAAGCGTTTCGGTATTATAACTTACCGTTATATCTGTTATAGCCTCGTACTATGCCGTAGCTATCGGACTGTATATATCTACGGCACTATGCCTTATACTTGTCTTTAACGGCTCGTATGAAAGTATAAATCGTATCGCTTAGTAAAGGCTTATCGAGCTTGTTCTATAGGCGGGGCTCGAATCGTAACTATGCCTAGTAGAGAAGGGCGTACGGTCTATTAGGGTCTGTCTCGAGACCTGCCTCGCGCGCGTAGTAGATATAGTTTATAATAAACTACTAGGGTGCTCTACGGTTACGTACGTCCTATACCGTATAGGATTCGGCGTATAGCTTGTCCTAGGCCTCGACGATAGATCTGCTAAATTTGTCCCTTAGTGCCTTATACTAGCGCTTAATGCCCTCTCCTCCGCGGATAGTGTCGCGGTTATTGCTCGTTAGCTCGTAGATAAACTATTACTATACGGCTCTACGTAGGCACTTCGTAAGCTAAGTACGTACTATACGGGCGTAATTAACCGCCGCGTAGTCGCAAGCTACGTCTAAGAACAGGTATACTAAGGTGAATATAACCTTATTACCGTACGTATAAATGTCCTAGCTATCTAAGTCCGCGTATAGGGCGTCGGGGTAGAAGTACCTAATGTCTATCGGGTCGAACCTCTCTAAGCGCTAAGAACGCTGCGGGCTATAATAGGGTAAGCGGCTAAACTAAAAGTTGTCGACATAGTGCGGGTTAAAGCGGTAACCTCGAGGGCTAAAGTTCCCGCCTTAGGTACTAGAATTACCTAGGCTCGGGCTTAGAGGCCCTCCGCTAGCCGCACCGCCTTAGCTATAGCGGCGTTATCTAGCCTCGGCGTTGCGTATTACGTTACGGCGTAACTAATAAGGCTAGGCCTCGACTAGGTTAGGTAGCGGGGCTAATAGAACTTATTTATACGGAACCTGTTTATTTAAACCTATACGCGCGAGGCGCTTAGCTCTTCTAGTGTCTAGCCTGTCTTATACTAAGCTTGAAGGGATACTCTAGCGTAATTAGTCGATCTTATCCCGGATCTCGTCCCTAAGCTATTAGGTCTATATAACTTATTAATTTAACAGTTGTCTAAACAGCTAGCGTATCTCGTTACGTAGGACAGCTAGATTAGCGGCATTTAGGATTTCGCCGTTAGCGTCTTTAGCGGCCGCGTTAGCGCTAGCGGCGTTTTAGTTCTCGTATACTAGAACTTCGCGTAGCGCGCCTTCTCGTAGGCGTTAAGGCTAGGGATTGTCGTAAGCTAGCTACTTACCGTTTCGCTAGTTTTAGGAGGATAGTCCCGCGCTAGCATTACGTATACGCTAGCGGTCCGCGACTAGACGCCTAGCCTCCGTGCCTAGGAAAGCGTCGACTAACCTATTACGGCGCTATGTCTACTATCGAGAAGGTAGGTTACGCTCGATACTAGGTTCTACGTATGCTAAGTCCGTGCGCTAGAATTCTAGGTCTATATTTTAGGATATATCGGCTATATCTTTAGTAGAAGCGGGTAGGATTAACGGCTCTTATTATCGGGATCCTTACTGCTATGTCTCGGGACCTCGATACTAAAGCTTAGGACCTAATAGAGAGGACTCTTAGTATAGCTTAGTACCTAATAAAAGGGACTCTAGACTGCTCGTAGCCGGAAGCTCCTACTACTCGGGCTTAGGGCTCTGTTGCTCCGGAGCTTACTAATTAGGACTCTGCTACTCTGTATCCTAGTGCTCGGGCTTAGGACCGTATTACTTAGAACCCTGCTATTTAGGACTCTACTACTTAGAGCCGACTAAAACCGGCGAGGACAGATTAGGACTGCTCGGGACCGACAGCTCTAAGGCACTAAGTTCTCGTAGGCCTAGGGGGAATATAATCGGTAAGGACCTATAACGTATATACGTAACTCGTCGTATACTAGCTGCTAAAATAGTCCGACGGCGACGTAGCTATAGGCTAGTGTCCGGACTTAGACTTGTAGGCACTACTATATCTAGTAAGGGTAGTACTAGTTCCGGAGTAGGAGCCGCTAAGTCGTTAGGTCCTATCGTGTCTAAAACTGTAAGTTCGTTATAGAGAGCAAGTAGCGTCTTCGCTACTGCTATAACTAAAGAGCGGTTAACTACCTAATCCTAAGGGAAACCGAGGGTAGTACCGCCTCTAGTGTCCGAGAGTTTTCGTAGTATATATTCTTCTAGGGGCTAATAATGCGTAGTAATTTTCGTAACGATTGCTATAAGCGGGTCTCTTTGCTTCTAGTATACTAACTTAGCGTAACCGGCGTTAGCTAAGAACTCCTTAAAGCAAAAAGCGATGTTTAACGAATAGGCGTCCAAATCGGGGCGTACGGAAGCTAGCGTATTTATAGAATAAGCGTAGGCTCGGTAATCTTATAAAAATATAGGATAAGTATAGAGTTAAGGAATTAGACTAAAGTCGGGAAACTGTTAGGGTACTTATAGGCTCTTGCCTCGACCGGTGCCCGCTTCGGTAGGTGCTAGTATAGAGTAAACAAACCTAGATAAGGAAGGCGGGCCGCCTAGTCTAGCGATTAGAGGGCTATAGGGCGCTGTCGATTAGAGGGCTATCGGTATATAGCTATATATATACGGAAGATAATATACGGAATTTGGAGGACTATCGTAATCGTATCTATATCGAGCGTAGGTAGTTGTTATAGTTAGGTAGGTAGGTCGGTGCCGCTAGTACGGGACCTCGCGGTCGCGTTTCTTAGTTTTTTAAGGTGCCCGTTCGTCTAGTACTCGGGTACTATTTAAACGGATCTGGATCTAACTAAAGCGAAGCTACTAATTATTACGCGAGGGACGATCAGTAGTTAGGCAATAGTATCGTATTAGGGTAAGTATCTACGGTTCTACGGAAAGTATATACCGGGCTTAGCTAGCGTACCGTCCCTACCGTAACAAACGGGTACGAAAGGCTATCTTCTATTTATCGCCCTTGCGGATACAAATGCGATAGTACGCATCCTTAATGTCTAGTATAGTATAGTAGTAAGCCCTAGAAAGGCGATCGAGGGTCTTATTAATAAGCGGAAGTAGACAGCGGTTTTTAATAGTAACGGCATTAAGCCCGCGGTAATTAATATATAGACGCAGGCTACTATCCTTCTTTAGAACAAACAGGATTAGTATACTAGCAGGGCTATTACTATATCGTATCTAGCTATTAGCTAGGTTTTCCTCTAGATACTTACGCAATATAGCAAGCTCTCGTTTACTAAGGTTATAGAGGGGGCTAAAAGGAACCTCCTTGCCCTCTATAATGTTAATCTTATAATCCGTCTCTTTAAATATAGGCAATGTCGACGCTAGGTAGTATTTAAACACATTAATATAGGTCTCTCGGATAGGCTCTAGTATACGAGTAAGCTAATTAGGGTCTATGCTATCCGGGGGCATAGGTTTATCGTTATTACTACTAAGCAGGTCGGTAGTCGGATTAGCTAAGGCAGGTATTAGGTTGCTAATAAATAGGACCCTAATATCGTTAGGGCACTCGCTAACATTAATGTATTTAATATCCTCTTTCCTAGCGATTCTAAATCGCTACTTCTAGAGGCCTAGGTCTATAGCTATAGCGTAGTACTTAAGAATAGGGTTACTAATAACAATATCGGATAGGAGGCTGTCTATATCTACTGCGTAGGCAGTAAAGTCTAGTAGGCGCTTATTTCCGAGGTCGTCCTTTAGAGCTATAGGAATATAGTAGGCCCTATAGGTTAAGTGCCGAGCGTTATTAAACTAAGCAAGGGTTAGCAGGTTAGTCTTCGGCAGTTATCGAAGGTCTAGTTGCTTAGCTAAGCGATAGCTAATAAGGGTACTAACTGAATTTCCTAGATCTAGTATAACCTTAGTTTAATAGGTAGTGCCCTTCGTATCCTATACAAGGTAGGAGCGTATTATTGCTAGCACAATGTCGATAGTCTTACGCCGTATAAGGCTAACAGTTAGTGCGGCGCTTACTCTTTTTTCGACTAATTAAAAGAGCCGACTAGAGTAGCATTAGCGGCTAAAAGGTGTTTCCTATGCTTAGCGGAAGCACGGTTAATTCGGGCCTAGTCCTTAGGTTTGTCGCATTAGCCTAGTAGATAGCTAGTACTATTACAATTAAAGCACTTTAATCCGGTCGGGAGATTGTTACCGTAGCTATTGTTACTGCTATTATTAGTCGAGCGGTTAGCATTATAGGGATACGAGCCCCTTCTACGGCCCCTATCGCGGCCTCCTCTATATAGCCGGCGGCTACGGCCTCTTCTACAGTTATTGTTACTATTCCTACTATTAGCATTATTGTCCTAGTAGGAACCTTAGTTTCCTCCGCGGCTACGGTTGCTACGGTTAGTACTAGCTAGTCGGATCCTCGATTCTAGTCGTTATTAGAGCTAAATAGCCCGTTCGGCTGTTTCTACTTCGACTATAAATTGAATGCGTATTAGATTAGCTTGTTCGAACACACGGCGACGGTCTAATTCGAGGATAAGTTCCTATCTAAGTTTTAGGCGTATCTCGGAGATCTATATAGAATCAGTCTTAGGCAGAAGGTCGTCTTTAAGGGTTTTTAAATAGGCCTCGAATAAGCGAGCCGATTAATTAGTCTTCTATTTAGCTCGAAGATATAGGTCCTAAGCATATTGTTGCCTTAGTATAGGGTTTCTAAGGGTGTCTAGCATAATAGTTTTGTAGGTCTGCTACTAAATAGCAGTCTAGTTATTAAGGGAGTCGAAATAGTTATCCTATATACGCTTTAGGTCGCTATTGATATACTATATAGCGTATACGACTAAGGAATAGTCGTCTAGTACCGCTCTTAGTGCGTTGCGCTAGTTAAGTTCGCAGTTACGAATGTAGTCGTTGTACTGCTTCCGACTAGAGCTATTAAATACGGTACAGTCCTTAAGTTTAGTATCCTTCTTTTAGATAGGTAGTAAAGAAGGTCCTACTGTTAGCTTAGTAGTAGTTATTAGAGATTCCTAGAGGCGGCGAATCTCGAGAAGATTATCCTTTAGCTGTTATTCTTAACGCAAGGCAGTAAGCCTGTTTTAGATAGCTTCTTAAAGTCTCGCTACTAGTTAGGGACTAAAGGCTAGCTAGCTATATCGACGGTTAATAATATTATTAAGAATGTCGTCGATAGGCAATTCTAGGTCGTTACCTAGAATTGCAGGTTCTTCTTTAGCAGGTCCTATAGTAGGCTCTTCGGTAGGAGGCACTTTAGTAGGTGCTTTAGTAGGCACTTTAGTAGTAGGCACTGTGCTACTAGCGTTGTTATTGCTAGCGCTGCTAGCGGCAGCACGGTTGTTGTTACTTCGTAATAAGCCGGCTATTATAATAGGGGGTAACACTAATAATATATTGTTAGCCCCTAAGATACGGATATAGCGGAATTAGTAAATATTAGTCTAGTACGATTAACTTAGTATAATAGGCCGTATAGAAGGCCTTGCTTAATAATTGGTACGGTTGTTTCGATAGAATAGTACGTATAGGTCCCGTTCTTCGAGCGTAATATAGTTAGATTAGTCTTATTCGTAGCTATACCGCTAAAAGCTTGAAATAAGGACTATCTAGCTACTGCCCTTAAAGGGTAGATCGAATACTATATAAGAAGGGTTATGTTAGTAGGTAGATAGGGTAGTAGTAAATTAGTGTAGTATTTAATAAGGATCTAGGAGGAGAGGGAGGAAGGTAGGAGAGTTAGCCTAACGCTAAGCGCTAAGCCCTGCCTAAGGCATTAAGACCCTAGCTTCACTCGGCCTAGTTATATGCTAATTACGTATAGCCTCTTTAGCCCTAACAATTAACGAGCTACCTAATAATAGCGACATTAAGGGCATAGAAGACTATACTAACTACTTCTTCTACGCTAGTTTCGACAAAGATAATTAACTAGACAAGGTATCCTCTAAGGCGGTTAGCTTGCTATCGATTAAACAGATTCTTTTTACGTTTAAACTAACGACAAAGACAACAATCTACGAGATACCTATCTATATCTAGTTGCGGAAGCAGTAGCAATAAAGGCAGCAAAAGCGGAAGCACCGGCTAAGTATTCCTCCTACTACGAGTGCTACTACGAGTACTATAGCGAGTAAGTATAGAGTAGTTAATAGTATAGAGATTAAGAAAGAAAAGCTATAGACCGAGAAGATAATCGATATAGAGAAGCTGCCTAAGATTATTAACCTAAGCGGCGAGGACACCGCGAGGATACCGCGAGGCACGTCTATTCTAAAAGGGTCGAGCGAATCTAAAGACTAGCAACCTAGCTAGCAACCTAGCTAGCAACCTAGCTAGTAACCTAGCTAGTAACCTAGCTAGCAACCTAAGCAGCAACCTAGCTAGCAAGCTAAGCAGCAAGCTAAGTAGTAACAACCTACTAATAGCGGCGGATATACTAAGAGTTAGAGGCTAAAGCGTAGTCGGAAGAAGAAATAAGATATAGAAGTAGAAGTATAGACTCGTAGTACACTCGCTATAGACTCGCTATAGAATCGCTATCTTATTTGCTATACTCGTAGCGGACTCGCTACTATTTCAAAGGTCTTCTACTAGTAGCTCGCGATCGCTATTTAGCTATAACTCCTTCTATATCGTATATATATCCTTTAACTTAATAATTGCCTTAGTCTTAAGCTATTTAAACTACTTTTAATAATAACCCTCTAGATTAGCAAACCTAGTCTTAAGAGTATTAATCTTTGTCTCTAATGCAATATTCTTCGTCTTTAATTTAATACTCTTTACCTTTAATAGAGTATTCTTCGACTCTAGAGCCTCGACTTGCGCCTATATCGCGGCTAGCTCGCTATTCTTATCGTCTTCTTTAACCTTAATCTCGCTAGTAGTATAGCTACTCTTGCCCTAATACTTGTAATAAGTATAGACTCTCTCTCCTTTAGTATCTAGTACGCGATACTTATAGCCGTTATCGTAGCGAGTATAGAAGTAATATAGCGATAGTGCTAGCTTTCCTTGCTTAGTCTCTATAATTATACTAGTAGCTAAGTATTTACGCATTCTGTTTAAAGCTACCTTCTTTTTTTGCGGATTTATAGTATCGTCGATAAGGTCCTACTATATCTACTCGCTATAGTACTAGAAATCTTTCGTATTTATAGTCGTAGGACGTCGAAGTCTAGAGCGAGTTAGTAGCGAGTCTATAGCGATATGCCTCGTAGCTTATAATAAATACGGTGCTCCTACTAGTAAGGTAGGCACTAAGTCGGGCGCTAAAGTACCTAAAGCAGCTATAATAATAAGGTCGCGCGAAATACTAGTTATAGCTCGAAACGGTAGTAGTAGTAGTAACGCTACTATCGCTATCGCTATCGCTAAAGGTAGAAGACAAAGAAGAATATAGCGAGTCGAGGCGCGAAGGAATAGCGAGTGCGGTAAGGTTTGCGCGGTAAAGTTGCGCGTAAGGAAGGCGCGACAATAATAGGAAGCAACAATAGCCTCAAGTGAAGCCAACCGTGGTTTGGCTTCTTGGTATATATGGAGCTCCGTCCCTTGCTCCCTTGCGCCGTCAAACTTTCGGGGCGGGAGCGTGCCTGGCTGGCGCTGGGAGCCCGAGCTGAGAGCTGGGTGCTGGGGCTGACAAACTCATTTCATCTCATAGATCGTATCGGAAATCATCGCCGCCTTTCCGTGCTTCATGAATCAACAATGGCATCTGATAGGAGACGGGCACGTGTGGGACAAGGAGTGAGCGACAGCAGAGGAGATGGTTTAAGCGAAGAAGATAGCAGACTATCTGGAAGACATCATCAGGTGTACGATCGTTGCGATCAACTCCCGAGACTTCGCCATCGACAGTCTCGCCTGGCAGAGCATGTGTGATAATTGCGAGAGGCCAAATGCCGCGGGCATTGCTGGGGGCACACAAAGCAAATGTGAAGTACAAGAACAATTCGGGGCACTGGCCACTGCACATCCAGACGTCCAAATGGAGCGCCCATCTCGATCCTCACATGCCGTATCATGGCAGCGATGCTGGGAGTGAGGACTAGGACTCAGTTCATGAACGAATTGATGCAAGCCGGACTCTGGAATACCAAGTTGGCATTGCCGTAAAGAAACGTGGCTGCTTCCTGCTAGATCGAGCGACAACTCGGGAGATGCGCAAAACCGGAGGATGTCTGCTTCGTATTACATTTACCAGATCTGAAGTCTGCAATGCAGTCTTTGTGGTGGTCTACGTATGGCAGCACACTTCCGTTGACCTCGTCCAGTGCTGGGTTCTTTGCCATGCTCTATGGAAGCTACGAGATATCCTGCAGGCATGCGAGGATCTCTCCGTGAATCCGTCTTCGAAGCTCCGCTGGTAGACGAAAGAGGTGGCAGTGGACTTCGTCATGCTGGGTTCTACCGGACATCAGCGAAAGCTTCCAGACGAGACTCCTTTCCTCCTTGCCTTGTGTGTTGCTGACTGTCGCTCATACTGGCCTTATTGGGATTGCTGCCATGTCTTCTAATGAGACACCTGCTCTATCTCCAATATACCAGAGATCATCACACTTACTGTCGAGGAGTTATCTATGGCGAGCTCAAGTCGGCAGAGAGAGCTCATCAATGGCCAGAGGGAGCGGAGCGTTCCGACGGCGACCGAAATTTCGCTTAGTCAGATGCTCGAACTATTTTAAGCTCATGCTGGCTTCAACGTCGACAACGACATGCACCGGCAGCACCAGCTGCAATGAATAGACGTGCTGTCGACAATAGCTCGGTGCTTCAGCCGACTGCCAAGCTACATCGATATTGTCAAACAATGAGGCCAGGCCCGGCATCTGCCGCTTACTGCCGCCCTCCTCCATTTGTGCAATCCCTTCTTCAAGCATCAGCAACGGCTCCAATGCCACGCGAGCATGGAGAGCTGCGACACGCAAGAAAGTCAATGATACTGTGCCAATTGTCTAAGTGATCCCGTCGCAATAATGCCCTTGGACGAAGACAACCGACTTTGCTGAGGACCTTCTGAGGACTTCTTGGCGCACTCAGCTTGCCGTCGAGTCGCTGCAGCACTTCTTCCTCTCCTCAGCGACTAATCGCGAGTATTTAACCTACAGAACCATCCCACTTCTCTATTGTGAGCAGTGAAGCGTGCATCAAACCTAGCACCACCTTTTCCTGCATCATTCACATGCAACCTGAAACACGTCCGTGCACCTCAACAATAGCACCGCAACGTTCGGCCTCAATTGACAATAGCATTGACAAGCAGCCATCGGCACAATCGCTTCACTCGTCAGTCACAATAGCCTTCTTGTGACAATACCACTTGCTGATGCGCCGCAGGTACAAATATTTCCTTCCGCCACTCTTTTCTTCTTTCCTTTTCACAACCACATCCGCGACCATCTGCTTCCAAGTTGAACACTCTACCAGCATCTCGAACAACTTCAGACTCCACATCATTGCAGTCAAGCATACATCGCAACTTACACCAACTCCAACTATCAACCATGCCAGTGCACGTCGACGCAGTCAACTTTGTGCTTCAGCAATATCTCTACGAACACGGCATTCCACGCTCCGTTACTGATCAGGTTACCGCCGAGTCCGTTCTTGCAAGCGTCAAAGCAGAGCTCGCGGCACAGCAGTCCCCGCCACCAACCACTCCCGGCGCCGTCCCACCTGCCCAGCAAGCTCAGCAGCCTCCAGCAGCACCTGTAGACTCGAGTCCTCGCGACAGCGTTATCGATGCTTCCGTCAACCACTCTGCGAGCGCACCAGCCGCAGAGGCACCACAATCAACTCCAGAAGCACCAGAAGCTTTCGAGACGCAGGAGCGAGAGGCGCCCGCAGAAGGTGAGGACAGCGAGCACCTCGACGAGACCGTCCAAGATCACATCAGCGACTCCGGTCTGGACCATGATACCGAGAGCGTCACGTCAACTCCAGAACCTTCAGCAGGCTCGCAAAGCATCGAGTACCCGGGCGTCCTGACCTACGAGCTTACCGCTCTCGAACCTTCCGCGACCGCTCTTTCCGCCGATCCCAAGCGCTTCAAGGCCAAGGAAGTTGCTCTCAGAGACTGCATCGAGTACCTCATCCTCCGCCTCGCTGCCGTCTGCATCATCCTCGTCCGCCACGACAACGTCGCAAGAGCCATCCCGTTCGGCCAATTCGCAGTCGACCTGTACGGTCAAACCATCTTCGCCTCCGCCCTCACCTACTACGAAAACGCCGCCTTCGAAGACGAAGACGCCCTCGACGACGACGATGAAGACCTGATCGAGGTTGCCAAGCGATGCATTTCAGACTGCGTTTGCGTCCTCAAGCAAAACTGGCACGACCAGAGTCGCATGGCAACCAAACTCCACAACATTGCCGTCGCCGAGCAGATGTATCGCGATCCGGCTCTAGATGTTGTCGCTCCGGTTTCAGAGACGCCAGCACGCGCTCCAGGCGGTAGTCCGTCGAAGGGTGTTACGAAGAAGAAAATCGAGAAGAATCGCACATCCTCCGGTCCTCCAGTCAAGGGTGTCGCACGTAAGGTGCACAAGGAGAAGAAAAATCGGGCGAACAGAGCCAAGATCGTGCGTGCAGGATACGACGAGGATGAGTGGCAGCAGTAGATGACTCTGTTTTTGGGTGGGTGGCGAGGCCTACTCGTAGATTTTGCATGGTGTTAAGTAGGTACAATGATTTGGAGCGATGGCGTGGTGAGGTGAACGCTATCATCAATACGAATGTGAATTTCCCACTGCTTCGTTCTCATTTTACCTGTTCTCTCATTGGAATTCTTTTTTTCAACTCATAGACTTGAAGCTAGCTACAGTAATCACGTTATTTCTTGAGGCATAAAGCGGGTAGATCGCATTGGAGCGAGGTTGTGGTGAGGTGAGCGTTATCATCAATACGAACGTGATCGCGTGGCTGACTCTGATCAAGCGTATGATCTGGGCCTCTGGAGGGGTGTCTCGAGGCTTCGTTTTGGCATGTGAGAATGGAAGCTTGTCGCCTGTGGATCTCTGGGGTTTGGCGTGGAGCTTGTCCCGACTCCCAACCAGGCCAGGCCAGGGGCTTCCAGGCTTCTCGCCGCCAAGCCTTGAAGCAGGTACACACTTCACCTGCGATTGGATGGTCTACATCCTCTCATTGACTTCTGTAGCCTGACTACAAGCGAGCGATGCCGACAGCTATACGAGAGCAAGATCAGCCTTCACAAGCAAAATACTCTGACCACTGCTCACCGAGCCTTTCACTGAGCGACGCTGCCGACTCTTGTCCGCCTCCGTCTCCCAACACGAGCGTCGTCGAGCGAGCCTTACAGACACCTTGTCCGGCAACCTGGTCGACTTGATATGCACGTCATACGGCGTGCCGTGATGCGATGCGATGACGCCATGTCTATACTATCGTCTTCCGATTTTGGTAGGAAATACATCGAGCCCCAAGGCGTTGCAAGGACTCCTGAGAAGACCAAGTATGGGTAATAGAGAGCTTCAAGTTAAGCTATAGACGCAATCCTTTTCCAGCGGATGACAATGAGGACCCCAATATCGTCAAGGATATTCTGACATCGCGGCGAGTCTTTCAGTCAGCTGAGACCACATTGAGATCGTTCTTGACGAGTCAATTCCTCATCTGGGGCTCGAGCATGCCGTCGGTATACTCACGGACGACTGACGGTAGCTGCTTCGATTACGCTGTAGTGCTCTACACTCGAAGGAGATCATAAAGCTCATGATGGACGGCATTTGTGCTAGCATTCCCTACCATTTGCACAAGGTGGACTCGAACAGCAAGCCAACCACGCCTGATGCTCGTGGCGTCATTGGAGCTCATGCCCTGGTCTGGCCTCTCTCCGTCGTGTTGCAACACGCCGAAGCCGACACTTGGCATCGAAAAGTCGCCCTAGAAATGCTGCAGTATATCGCCTCTGACAGTGGGCTGCGCAAAGCGGACTTAGCTGTCAAGAAACGCGATCGCTGAGAGTGAGGCGAATTCAGGCGCGGGCGCTTGAAAAGCAGATCGGTATCACATGAGGTGTTTTCCTGGAAACTGTCATGTTCTGCACAACAAAATCTTCGGAGACAATTACAAATGATCGCCTTTCGTCAACACTATCTTTGTTCTCTTCATATTGCCAATCATGAAGCTCGTGGCAGAACCTCGATGCCACGACTTCTCACATACGCCAGTTGAAGCTATCATCGACTGCAGACTTGACCGTGGTTGAATTCAGTTACATAGAAGTCCCAACGAAGTCGAAGCGTTCCAAGTGAAGAAGGTTGTTTCGGGGGCGTTTCACCTCACCTAAACGTGAGCTGTGTAGCCAAGAGAGTCTCGAGACAAATAAAGTGAGATTTCAAGCTTTCATATAACACACACATACGAGATTCGAATGTAAGGTAGTAGTAGGTTGAGATTTATAAAACGCAGGACTCAAATCTCGACAGTGTGTGCGAATGACGGATTAAGATCCCAGATATCAATCGCCTATTTATCGATCTCGAAGAAAATTTCGATTTTCAAGCTCTCTGCGATCTATTGAATAGCTTTATACTCAAAGGCTCAAAGACGTCGGTACGAAGGCACAGGTGAATGAATGAAGCACATTATCACATCACCTCACCTAAACCCCTCCGCCACAGAATGGGTCGAACTCTGAGCCCGGATTCAGAGAACGAATTCTCAACAATCGAAGGCTGATAAAGCACAACCAAATGGAACAACTCTAAGAAATTCAAGGGATGATTTTTCTCGGTCGATTCATCACGACGGTTAGAATTACTGCAGGCATTCTATTACTTTGCATGATTCGAATCAACCGTAAATTCATCTTCAATGCCCATATAGGTAGTGAGAGCGAAGTCGAAGCGTCGCAAGGGTAGGAGGAGGCTTTGCTAGGAAGTGAATAGTTCTTGCAGGATTTCACCTTCGACGATTCATCTCCTTCTCTACACCTACACAGACCCGGATTTTCAGATGAAGTTTGCACTATTATACGAATAGCAGTAATCGAAAAAATCCACTCTGTTCCGACGATTCGATTCGATTTTCAAACACTAGATATCATAACACAGCCTCTCATGCCGATTAGCCATTACATACACAAATCAGGAAGTCCTCTGTTCCCAGAACCTTCCCATCAAAACTAGAAGTTCTGCTCAGTGGCAGGGCAGGGTGGTGGTTGGTCATAACAAGAAGCAGGGGAGAGTTTCTTTCTTCTTCTCTAGTAACCCTTTGGCTTGTTGTAGCCGGAAGGCTGCTTTGGGTCCTGGTTCTTCTTCTCACAGTCGTTCACCTGATCACGCTTCCAGTTGCAGATGCCTTCCTGCTTGTGGAGTTCGGCCTCGGCGGCGGCGTTCTTTTCCCAGGCAGCTGTGAGAGAGAATTAGATTTTGTGCTTCGGTGGAAAGGTTTGTGGGATGTAATGGGCTTACCCTTCCACTCCGTTCCTTCCTTCTTGCACTTCTGGACCTGATCCTCGTACTTCTTCTCAGGATCCTCACAGCAGTTGTTCCAGTCGTTGTAGGCCTTCTTTGATGCCTTCTTGGCGTCGTCCCACCTGTAACAATGGCGTCAGTAACAATGCTGCAATTCGAGGGTGGAATTTGCTCACTTCTTCTTGTACTCTGGCTTGGATTTCGATTCGCACGAGTTGTACTCCTTGGCAGCAGCATCCTCATCCTTCTGTGAGGTTGTTAGCCATGGGCAGTACGAGGAAACTGACTAAAATGGTTCCCTACCTTGGCGGCATCGTATGCCTTCTTTGCGTCTGCCTTTTTCGCGCTGCAGGTCTTGTAGTCTGCCTCGTACTTGGCCTCAAGCTTTTTGCAGGATTCGTACTGGGACTTTTGGAGAGCCTCGTACTTGATGGCCGCCTGCCAAAGGTCGTAGTCGTGGTCCTGAATGGCCTTGCACTCCTTGTACGCCTTGGACAGGCCGTCGCAGGGATCGCTATTGTAAGAAGACGGGGAAGTTGGTACAGCAATGGCGCCAGCCACGAAGGCGGCAGTAGCGAAGAGAGTGAACTTCATTTGAAAAGATTGTGGTTGCGTAACGAATGTGGGGAATAAAAAGAAGAGTGTGCTAGTTGGTGAAAGTGGATGATGGTGGATGAGAAGAAAAGGCTGTCGAGATGGGAACTAGAGGCCATACTTATACAGAAATCCTGTAGCCTGGTCGGCCGTTTGTTGCTGTTGCTCCCACAAGTTCTCGTCCCTCTTAGTAGCCGATGGACGGCTCTCACGTTGATGTTGGCGTAGAGCGAGGCGTGCCCATGCCACAACGGGAGTCACGACTTTGTTTGGTAGGCGCGGAACACCGACCTCCAGTGAAGGGACGTGGAAGTTGCCAGCCGCGGCCTGCCTCGTATTGATGGCTTGATCCCGAGTATGGCCAGACTTCTGACTGGTGAGCCCAAAGGGCGGAGGCAAAGCATTTGCCGGACGGGTGGTCGCTTGGCTATTGCGCAGACATGAGCACTGTTCCTGGTCAGACCACGAGCCAGAGGCATGGCCAATCCGATGACGCCGAACCAGATATGCTTCAAGCCCAGTTGGACAGGAGGCACTAGCGTGGCTTCCATTACAGTGGTAGGCCGCACGTGGCAGATCGAACAATGGCGTTTTGGGAAATTGAGGACGAAGCATAATCGGATCAGAGAGTAATAGGCCAAGGCTGTATGACTCTATTTTGCCTCCACAACACATCGCTTGCAGTAAGATGGTCGACGTTGCGAGGCTGTGCCTGTCTCTCAACATGTCTCGTGGACTTTAGGTTTCCATGTCTCCCGTCCTTCCATACGGGCGGAGATAGCACAGGGCAAGCAGAACTGCGGGACTCGCTTATTGCAGATCTGATCGGCTCATTCGTCCTCATTTAGCAGATGCCAAGCAACTGTCATCGATTGTGGAGATGGTGAGTCTGGAGAAGTGCAGAGTGCTAGACCGAACACGAGCTTCGCTTCGCATCGCATGAATAAGGCCAAGGCGGTTGTTCCTGACGCTAGACCTCGTCGAGCGCTCCGATGCGTCTTGACTGGTGAGAGTTTCACGTCGGTAGCTGTTTGGCTGTCTTTACAAGTGTGGCTTGGGTGAAAGGAGCGGCGAAGGCTGGATGGAAGAACCTCCCCTTTTCTTGCCAAGATCTTGGCATTAGCTTTAGTCTCTCACAATAAGCTTGTTTGGATTTTTTTTAGACTTTGTGGAGATTGGGGGAAAAAGGGGACCGTCGCAACCCAAAGGTAGTGATGGGGTCCACCAACCTGTGGATGGTGTACACGCTCTGTAATACACTATGTATACGACCCTTTTAGGCGAGCTCGTTGTGTATACACAAGGCGGAGTTATCGGATACGCTGATCCGAGCGAAGCGATGTAAACAGGCATAAGCCGGAGCATTCGAGGAGCTTGCGACGAGGATGCGGAGGTGTTGTCTGTTTACGAGCTGAGCGGAATAACAGTCAGAAGTTGGTAGAATCACGTGCGAGGTATTCGCCGGGGGTTCAATTTGAAGATGCGCTCATACAAATCCAGCCAGGCCTCTGATTGGAAGAAATCAAAAGGAAGTATTGGCCTGATGAATCTGTTGAGTGCCTAACAGCAGCCGGGGGCCGGTACAGAGGGCAGGAAGGCAGGCAGGAGGGCAGGAGGCAGGCAGGCAGGCAAGAGGCAAACCAGCAGGCACTCCCAACTTCAGGACTGTTATTCCGCTCAGCTATCGCTTCGCTCGGCCACCTCAGGCAGTACCTGCCTGTACGGTACTTTATATCCCGCCCACAACCCGCCAAGCTGCTTAATATTGCTCGGATATCCTGGTATTCGGGTATACCCGATGTGTATCCATGGGTGTACACCAGTATAATATACGATGTACACAACCTCCATTTCTCAGGGGCTGTAAACCCACAACACTACCCAAAGGCCACATAGCATCGTCCCATCTTCGAGCGTCTGCCATAGAATGGTTCAACCCCCTTCCACCGACTGCGGAATCAAAAGGACCATGCCGGCCGGCCTCGTCGGATCCACGATCCTTCTTCCTACATCTTGGTACCTTATAGTATGCTGCATGTACTCGGCGCCGAGACACTTATTTGGCTTGTATACGCTTCGGATGTCTTGCTTTTGACCACGCTTATCGTAATATTACGCCCTCTAATTTCCTCCTTGCTGCAAAGTTGAAAGGAGTGCTCACAAGCCTCACATCCTGCCATGCTACAGGAGAACTCGATGCGCTAAGAAGAAAGTGAATGCTGTAAAAGTTACCAGCGGCATCGTGATTCGTATCGTACCAGTGAAGACGAGGTCGCCAAGTCTGGCAGATGATCCCCGCTGTGATCAAAGCCAGTACTGGTTATGTTCCAGACTTCCAGATCAGCTCACGGTTCGACACCGTAGACTATGCACATCCTCCTCGAAGATGCGGGCGAGCATTCCAATTCAGGCAACACATAGGGAATAACAACATCTAGACCAACGACGGGAGTGTTTCTGCTTGCACATGTATATACAATGTAAGAGACATCTACATCTATCGGACGAATATTATGACTGACCTTGACCAGGTACTGTAGTAGATAATCCGAATTCCAACTCAAATGCATTCGATTTTAGGCGATGCTATGCCTCCGTACGACTTCCAGCACCTGGTACAGCGCTGCACGAATACCAACGGCCGAGAAGCCTTGACCCCCCCAGAACGACATCGACGTTGCGCCACTTTTCGGTATTCTTCTTGCCTCCAAAGGCCTCCTGTCCATCTAGGAACCGTGCAATTCGGCACAGAAATTTGTAGCCACTGAAATGGCCTCGTTCAGTGTAACTTCCTTCGACACCAGTGTCCGGAACGTGGTCTCGTCAACGCGAAAAATTCTCTGTGATGGGTTGCCGATTGCAACACAGGTCGATCCGAAAGTGTTCCTCCTTGGCAAAAATCATGCTCCAGGCAGGGAACGAGTGTACTAGCAGCCACAGTGACTTGATACGCGCACCAAAAATCATCGCGACGGTGAAGGCGCAGCTTCCTCCTGATCCGGGATAACTCTAACCACCGGCGTCGGCAGCGGCGGTGAAATCACCACAGTACTATGATTCCGATTCTTACTCCAAACACCCGGCCGAATCTCACGGAGTTCAATCTCAGGCTCAAAATCCGTATGCGCGGTCGAGGCTCCACACAAACGCCACAGCGCATCAAAACCCCGAAAAATCGAAATGATGACGGAAATAAAGTACCACGCAGATTTTCCGCTGCCAAAAGCCAGGACGGAGTCTGCGTCGGGGGAAGCCTCTTGCAGAACGGCCCACCAAGGGAGCTCTCGGTCCTCGCGCGACTGGTATTCTAGAAGGACGAGCCAGTGTCGAGCTAGGCGGAAGCAATGTAGTAGGAATTGAAGGCATGCGGATAGAAGTGCGGCGGCGTGGAAGGAGATGGCCAGAGATACGATAGTCCTTGAGGCAGAATTTGGGACAAGCTGGTTATACTGATCGGCCATGGCCAGACCGACTCCAAGGGCGGCACCGAAGGGTGCGGCGTATACCAGGCCATAGATCGCAACGTTCTCCTCTCGTGGTTCCTTGTCAAAGACATTTGGTCTGAGCCGCGTGCGAGGCCATCGGGCAACATCTGCAAACTGTCAGTCGAGTCGGAACACTGTAGGGTTGGGAGCAGTAACTTACCAGAGCAAATAAGCACATCCAATTCCTCCTGCACCTCTGCCTCGAAAAGATTCCCGGACTGCTTCGCATACGAATCTGGTACCCGATACCACAATAACGGACATGCGTAGTTCGATCTTGCGGTTTTATCCTTCATGCCAATTCGAATGACCGCGCAACCATTACAAGTGCTTTTGTGTTCAGCCTCCGCACCTCTGGGATAGTTCAAGATCAAGAGAATATTCCCAGCCGAGCCAGGCTGTGAGGTTGCGGCTTCATTACGCTCGAGCTTGAAATGATAAAAAGCATCGTCAGGCTTGCCCCAGATGTCCTTACCATTCAAGTGGAAGTAGCCAGAAGCTACAAGTGGTCCATTGAGCTTTACAACCTTCCAGGGAACGGTAAAAGTTTTCGGAGGCTTGCCGTCGCTAGAGTCCAGCGCGATGGGCACGTCTTTACCGACGTGGAAAGTCTTTGCCTTTTTGGGTTGTTTCTTCGGCTCCACGGTAATGGTAAAATGCTTCAACAAGACCCCATCCGGCGTGATCTCAACGGCATTGTATGCGAGACCTGGCGACGATACGCGCTCTGCACGGGAGTTGAACTTGATGCCTCTCCACTCGCGAAAAGTCAAAGATTCCGACCCAAGAGGATGCGCAGGGACCCAACTGGGGCCATCCTCATCACTAAGTCGATCGAGACCATTTGCGAACAACAAGTCGGCGGGAAAGCATCGATATGCTCTCAATATGGCTTTCATGCGCTGCTCCGGACGCATCGCCACGATATCGAGAGCGTCCAGATCGAGCAGATTGGCTAGGGCGATGACAGTATCCTCGGTGTTTGTACTGCTTCGCGCACGTAAAGCGTTCCAGACGTATCCGAATCGAACGGCCCGATTGTTGTAAAGGCGACCTCTGATAGCATCTTTTGACCAATTCCTGCCTGTCAGTCGGTATCCGTTGCGAGCTGGGTTTCGACTTAGATTAATGGACTCCGACAGGAATATTCGCAGCTTGCCGCCTTGCGTCAGCCTTGAAGATTTGTTGCGCGCCCCACCGGATTCGTCGGGCTCGATCAATTTCGCCTCCTTGCCCAAGGTCGCCGAACAAGGAGTGTCGAGAAGGGGATACCAATTGCGCGCCAGTCGTAGAGCCTTGTCTGAGGTATCTCTGGCTGGTATGAGGTCAAGCCGTTTATGCCGCTTTGGTGAGGGCATTGTGGTCCATGGCGCAATAGTTATTGGACCATGACCGCACCAGTATGATATCAACCTCCCGAAGGTGGCCTCGTGGTAGGTCCAGCATCGTGTGTTGATGCCAGAAACTGCGATTCGAGCTGTCACTTCCGCTTCGTCCATGGTAGGTGTGATATGTTCCAGCTCTTGGTCGATTGCCAACACGCCAGTCGCCATGGCATATGTCAGAGCGATGTTCGACAACGCCTTCAGCCTCAAAGACAGCATACGTCGCGAGTCGTGCTCTGGTAACACCACTGGCACGCAGAGTGCATCCAGCCAAAAGTTGGCAACATATCCGCTCGGCAGCTTCGAAGGTTGCCCCTTCAAAAGTCGACGCCGAAGGCTATGATGCCCCGGTAACGCTCCCGTCACGCCGTCCACTACCGGAATCTTCGAGATAGCTGCGTCGGCCACTGCGACCCTTTCCACGATCTTTTCGAGCTGGCATTGATATATGGTGTTCCTGTGCGGATTGCCGATTCCGTCTGCCCACAAGTGTGACAAAGCAACATATCTCGTACAAGGCGTGGCTCTTCGATACGTGAATCGCAGCTCTCCGTTCGTCGCACGCGCGCACTGAACATATGCTATGCCACCCGTGCCCACAATGTCATGCATTTCCTCCACCGGAGCTTCGATTGCCGAGCACGTGCAGCCTGGCTCTACGTGCACATGGTCGAAGGTGCTCTTGTCAATGTTGAACGCAACACAATTCTTCTCGCCCCGGCACTGATCGTGATCGACCCAAGACGTCGGATACCGCTTCAGACTCCCAATATAGACAACCGCCGTAAAAGACATGACCTCTCGAAATTTATCAATCTGATGCACACACCATCCCGGCCTCTCCCGCATCGTCGACACCAGCAACTGCCACGAAGCCGCATTTTTCGGAGGAGCACCAATCCGCGTCCGATGATGAGATCTCTTCCTCTTCCTCCCCAACGCCAACAAAGTCTCAATCAACACGCGAATCGACAACCACACCGCCGCCCAATCCTTGGCCCACCCCGCCGAACCCGCCAGACTCGCATCCGCACGATCCAAAATCTCGCAAATCCCCAACATCTTCCTACAAAGCGCCGGCACCGTCCCATCCACCACGCGCTCCCTCTTCTCCAGCATCCACTCCTTCAACCGCACCGTACAAACCACATTCCTCCCCGTCGTGGCATCCTGCCGCACGAAATCCTTGTACACAAAAGAATCCCCCAACGCGAGTTTCAGCGGGCCAAACCACATCCATTCTTGAAGAAACGCGATCGCACGAGCGGGTCCATGCCGGAGGATTTCTTTCAAAGATATCCGTCCTTGGGCAAAGCGATAGCCGCGTTGGGAAGGGAAAGAGTCGAACGCGACCGCGTCGCAATATTTTTCTGTCGCGACGAGTGGGATTTGGATTTCGAGAGGTAGGCTGTCTTGTGGATAGTCGAGATGATCCATCGCGATTGCGAAGGTCGAATAGTAGACGCGAGATCACAATTCTTTGAATCGCATGTCTTCTTCTTCCCTTTGATGAGCGAATGCGGTTTGTTGTGCCTCGGTGGTGTCCAAGAAGTTTTTTTCTCGTACCTGGTCGGCGGTAGCCTTGTAGAGTTCATCATAGCAAATATTAGCAATTTGCCAGGCTGGTGAATGAGCCCGAAGGTCTGGTAACGTGCAAGCATGGTGTCGTGTTCCTGCATCTTATATACAACAGCCAGGACATCAGCAATTCTACGAATGACGAAGAATTTTTGTTGAGATCTAATCTTTGGAAGCTGTTGAGAGATGCTTGAAGATGTACTAAGTGTTCGAGCCGAGATGGCGGCCTTGGAAGGAGAATCGGTATGCACAGCGAAGGAAATAAATCTCACAGTACCTACGTCAAGCAACATCCCGGCAAGCAATCTCCCACTAAGAGTTGGGCGTGGCAGGGTTGCAGACTTCAGGAACCCGGTACGGATTATTTCGCGTGCTTTGGTTCGGACTGGGGAGTCGTGAACTGCTAGTCAAACAAATCAGAATCTTGACTCTCATCAGCCGAGGTCGCTACAGCGAAAAGATCTCGGCCGAGCAAATCGATCGCAGAGAGAATGGCAAGAGGTGAGACGTCATCTCTTGAGGCCCATGCGGAAGTTCGAGCTGAAGTGAAGGATCTTGTTTCATATGCAACACAGAGTTCGAAGTTTTATCCTCGCAAGAACGCCCTGCCCGCTCATTCATGCTCGCTCGTTGCGCCATACGCTCATGCTTGGCTTGTATTGGGCAACCATCCTTCTTGGTTCATCCGCCGATGCTTGATAATTGTGTCAAGGCGGTGGTGAGGTTCCGCCGGGCTCCAAGCTCGTCGCCGTCTTCTGAAGGCCGGTAGCATTGTCGCACTATCGCCAGTAAAGAATGATAGAGGATATACCTTCAAACGAAGTCAGTAATTTGTAATAGTTTTCATAAGTTTTAAAGCCCTTACAGGTACTGACGTATTCGCTCATCGGTCGTCGAATTCGGCAGCTTACCAAAACCCTCCACAAAGGCGACAGATGGGTTGTAAAAGCAGTCCGACATGAACGGGTCGCCCCAGGTGGCAGTCGAAAAGTCCAAGACACCGGAAATCGTCCAGCATTTTGTGTCGACGAGCAAGTTCTTGTCGTTGACCATCTCAAGTAAGAAAAGCTTCGGCTGGGTGATCAGGTCGAGCGAGGATCGATGTTTTCGTACTTGTTCCCGAACGAAGTCATATGGTAGACTGACAAGAGCATCTTCAGCATCCCAAAGCACTGACTCCAGCATCGTTGCAAAGCATCTCGACCATGGTGAGGCTCCAGAGCTTGAGCTGTTCGGCCTTACGGCACCGAATGTCGATCCAGAGATATATGTGAGCCTCCGCACATATTGACCCAGACTCTTGTCTGTGCTCGATAGGGCTTGTGTCGACATGCGTGGTTCAACGTCAGAAAGTACAGCACCTCTGAAAGGCCCGCTGATGCAGTAGAGACTTCCGATCGCTGCTGAGGTGTTTGAGTATTCGATTAATCGAGGAACGAGAAGGTCTGATCGGCCTCGTAATGCTTGCAGAATCAGAGCTTCAGCCTGGAGTCGGTCCTCCTCATGATGAAGCAGCCTGACACTCGTCGAGGGACAACATCGTAGGACGTAAAAGAAATCGGACGAAGATTGGAGCCTGAATGTTCGAAAGACGGCGCCATTGCATCTCTCTACTGTCACTGCCTTTGTCTGGAGTGCTTGCGCTGCAACTCGCTGGACTGATGCTCGGTCTGGTGATGTTGACGATCTCGTGGTCATTTTGAGTCTGAATACGCTCGAAGGATGAATGGGCTCCTGGACGGCGACCGTCATTTTGTATGGAAGCTAACGAGTCCACGGAACGACTGCGTATTGAGGCGGTTTGGATGGAGAATGCAGGTTGCACCGTTCAACTGCCGGGCTCCCAAGTCAGCGGGCAGGGTGGCTGCTCTGTTGGAAAGCTCGTCAGACCATTGCCGCAGGCATACCGAATAAGACCGGATTCGTGGATGCAAAGCAGGCAAAGTATTTCAGATAGAACAGCCACTCAAGTCAGACTCCTTCACGATGCGGCTTTCACGCTTAGTCGACGCCGTGTGTGGTCCCAGCAGGGTAGGGTGTAGATGTCAGTGGGCATACTGCGGGTCGGTGCACTGGCGGCACGGTAGAACCACGAAGCGATTGAAGCGAAATGGCTTGCCGAAAATCATCTCGCAGGCCAGAGTATCCAAGCAGATGCACGCCGAGGCCCCTCATGGAGCAGGAGCCTTCGCATCTTTCGCCTGTTGTGGGTGCCATGGTCGTTTGCGAGGCGCAGAGGAATGCGCGGGCATAGAATAGACTCGAGAAGAGGCGAGAAGGGTCGTCAGCACTCGTCTATCTAGGCCGGGAATGGCGTTAGTGCCGATGTGGCGGAGCGCATGATGTGGCGGTTGGCTGAAAGTCGGAGCGGAACTTGTAGAAGCAATCGAGAATTTCGCGCAGAGAGCCCCATCGACACTGCAACGGCCATACCTGTCAAACATCGACTTTGTGAGATGTGACGTTCAGCATTCGGAGAACACAGCACAATGGCTTTTCGGGTGCAACATGTCGGCGCACTGTGGTAGGCAGGCCTAGATTTACGGTTCGTCGGAAAGCCGGGAGCCCACGCGACGTGCAGATGTGGACTTCAAAAGATCGGGAGGCCACGAGGCCGGTGTGTTGCACAAGATCCAGCCTTCAGCGCACACACCACGAGGCCGTTGTTGTGGTTGGTTGTGGCAATGCATGAGATGAGGAATGCTCCTGCGTCATGCCGAGCTGCCACGCGCCCGCCGGGATGGGCCTTTGTTCCAGCGCAGCGTGTCATCTCATTAACCTGAAGTCCAGCATGAAGCGAGAATGGAAGCCGACCGACCCGACATGCAGCAGTAGCCCGTTTGATCTTTCAACAGCCCCGGATCGCGGAACCCTAGGCGAGATGTCCTCGCTCGCTGTATTCTTGGCTGGCATCTGTAAAGCCTGCATGCGGGTTCGCGAGAGACGACCCGTGGCTGACCAAACTCAGAGCTCGGAGGTATCGCGAAGAGGCTGTGTGTTGCAGCACTGTACGTGGAATTTCACTTCTTGACATCCTGTCCCTTTGGAGTCGGCTCGAAGATTTCGGATATATTGTAGCGTTTCAGTCGTTCGAAGCTGTCATCGAGGACACTGACACCGCAAATGTTCTGCGAAAATGATTAGCCATAGCGCTGCAAAAGCGCCGACCTGCCAAATGCATCCGTCACTCAATGCAAGCCACGACCACATACTTGATATACTTCCACCACGATCAGCAACTCGTAGTGATTCAAATCGACTTGGTGCCCCGGGCCAACGATCGAAGCAACTTGTTTGATCACGGCGTCCCGGGTTAATGCGGTATGATTGCGTATGGTTGGCCGAATAGCGAACTATACCCGATTCTGTGTCAGCCATGCCATAGGAGGATGCTCGTGCTGCCGTCTACAACGTCTTGGCGCACAGTTGGGCATCAGGACCGACCTTTCGCTTTTTGAATGGTTCTTGGTGGAAGTGCGGTTTCAAAACTTCAGCGGCCACCTTGTCAAGACCTTCCGTACTTGCTCGGCCCACAAGTGTCATCGGCGACAGTCGCTTTGCGAACCTGGTTCGCTTGTGGCTACTGTCTTTGAGAGCATCTTCGCAAATTGTCTTGACGAAAGATACTGCTTCCACGGGATGGCTCGTCTTGAAGAAGACAACTGCCAATCCGTCAGTGACCCTTCAGATTTCCACCTGCGCAAGCGCAATACTGACCGCATGGCACGTTCAACATGATAGGCGTGAACAGCCCTGGTGTTGAAGGCTTCCTAATGTCACGAACTTCGGCCTTGATTTCATCTTCGATATTGGCCGTGATGCTGTCGTCCTTGTTTTCCGCAGCGACGTCACCTCCTTCGGCTGTCTCATTGTCGGCCGCGACATGCTGAGCTTGTGGGTAGAGGCGTTCTGCATATTCACCGAACAGGTCCATGACCTCGTGTATACACTTGTTCTCTCTGCCTTTGTCGCATGAGACCCAAATGCCACTATCGCCAGGCTGTATCGTGTTCTTGGCCTGCTGGAAGCCATTCTCGCCTTTCTTTGGCACTCGCCATTGCTTTTTGCTCTGTTCTCAAATGAGCTCGCGGTTTCATTGAGTGGACCGGAACAAGAAGCACCTTGACCCTCTTCTCTGCGCCTCCGACGGCGTCGTTCGCCTTTCGCTTATGTGTGTCGGCCATCACTCTCAAATCCGATGCGCCTCGTGGTTGACTTTTCGTGAAAGGCGGCGTTCAGAAATCGGACCTCGTCGGCGCAAAACTGGTGGGATTCGTGCCTGAGGGTCACAACAACCAGGAAACATCCCACTTCAAGTTCACATGTACAATCTCTTACCTAAAAAAGTTACCCCATAACAATGTGAGATACAATTTTCGGCAAGGAGAGCTCTTAACGCACAATCTGCATTGTCTTCATCCAATGACCACCGGCAAGAGCGGCCAACGTCACGCCCTACGGCGAAGCTAGTCTCTTCAACAAGTTTCGTGATGAATGTGATGCGAATCATCTCCATATCGCGCAAAGAATACAAACACCGCAAGTCAAAGATCATCATATTAGCATCGCAATCAGACGAAGAGCAGCAATGGAGACACAATTCCTCTACCCATCCCCCTCACCATCCGCCCTGAAGCTCCACTACATCGGGAAACATGTCAAAGACATTCAAGCACCCGCAGCAATTCTAGACGCAGCAGTCATCAGACGAAACTGCAAATTGATGCTTGATACGGTAGAGAAGTTGCAAGTTGGATTTCGTGCACATGTAAAGACCCACAAGGTGATCGATCACATGATTCGAAAAGACAATTTCTTTTGTCTACGTGCTAATATGAAATTTCTCGCAGACGACGGAGCTCACAGAACTGCAAGTCGGAAAGACAAGCAAGTCGGTGAAACTCGTTGCTTCCACCATAGCAGAAGTCGAGGGTCTGGTTCCTTGGTTACATGAATGCGTGAACGCTGGCAAGGACGTCAATATTCTCTATGGACTTCCTGTATGCCCTTCGGCGATACCTCGATTGGCCATCGTGACGCGACTTCTTGGACCAGGGACCGTTGGCCTCTTTGTTGATCATCCGGATCATGTCAAATTGCTCGAGACAATTGAGGACGCCGTCTGGCCAGGCAAGATCCCTGTATTCGTGAACATTGACACGGGATACCATCGAGAGGGCGTGCCTGCAGAGTCGAAGCAATTGGCTGATATTGCTTATGCTTTGGCGGCTGCCAAGAAAGTGACGTTGAAGGGACTGTACACGCATATGGGTAGTTCCTATGGCGTGTCAAGTCCCGAGGAGGCGTTGAAGGCCATGTCTGAGGAGCTGCTTGGCTTGCAAGAAGGTGCAGTGTCCTTCTTGAAGAGTGCCGGTGCGGAATTCAGTCAAGACCCCCAGGCCGGAAAGGTTGTGCTTTCCCTTGGCGCTTCTCCAACCACGACTGCCATTCAGAATCTTTTGGAGTCGAACGATGAGGGAGCACAGCAGTATCGAGATTCGATTGACAAGATTGGACAATCATTTGAAGTCGAGTTCCATGCGGGAGTCTATCCGGTTATGGACATGCAGCAGCTAGCCACGAGAGCGAGACCCCAGCACTCCGCTAATGAGCCTGAAAAGAGTCTACTTTCTTTCAAGGATCTTGGATTCCGAATATTGACGGAAGTGGCCAGTGTGTACACCGACCGTGGCGAGAAGCCTGAAGCCCTCGTTGCTGCAGGTGGTATCGTCTTTGGTCGAGAAGCTTGCAAGAGCTACCCTGGTTGGGGCGTGGTGACTTCTTGGCCCCAGGAGTCAGGTCAGATCTACGATCCGGAAGCTGACAAGACTGGGTGGATCGTGGGCAGAATTGCGCAAGAACACGGTATGCTCACCTGGGAGGGCTCCCGAGACAAGTTTCGAGACGTGAAGGTGGGCGAGAAATTGCTTGTCTGGCCAAACCACGCTTGCATAGCCGGTGTAAGCTTCGGTTGGTATCTTGTGGTTGATTCGGACAAGGCCGATGCAGAAAGGGTCGAAGATGTATGGGTTCGGTGGCGTGGTTGGTAAGCGCCGTGTGCGGATGTTGAGGGATGTTGGTTATGACTTCAGCTTCAGCCATGTCAATCGTCGATAGTAATATGTGCGTGGCTTGCCAAATTTCTCGAGTCACGCTCGGCTCGCAAGGCCTCAGAGTTGAGCTCTGCGGTCAGTTGCTCGCCAAGTGAGACGTCGCTCCGCTGATCGTCTTCATCAATGTCAATTCCATTCGCCTCTGCGACTTTGATCAACAATCGCCGTTGAGCCTCCAGCTTTTCCTCGAATCGCTTCTCGGCCTCCTCCCTTTCTCGCCGAGCTTGATCGTGGAATGAGGCACTGCTCGAGCGCCATTTCTCTTCACGCGCTTGCACCTTGTCGGCATTGGTCTTTCGACAGTGTTCCAACCAGGGCAATAATTTGGTGATATTCGACAGCTCGGACATTGTCGATGCAGTGGCTGAGTTTATAGATTGTCCTAGTACATCTTGGACAGTCTCGAGCTTCTTCTCGATGGCGTTCTGGATGTCTTTCTCGCCTTTGTTGACTGTGTTGAGAGTGTCGAAGAGCCAGCCGCCTTGGGCTTTCCACTCGTCACGCCAGCCTTTGATAATGTTCAAGACTTCGTCGACTTTCTGACTCGTAGCCTCTTCGGATAAAGTGCCATTTCGTAGAGTGGCAGATAGTGCAGCATCGTCGCCATCTGTGCGCACACGTTTCAAGGGTCTGCTCTCCGCGCCGTCTTCGGCTTCGAGAGCGCTTCGCAGTGATGTTGGATTTCCCGGAGAGCTGGCCGATGCATTTCCTGAGCGTCTGGCCGATGCCTTGTTCCGGGCAAAGACTGCAGCATCAAAGTGCGCATCTGTCACATTGACGGAATAGACGTGCTCCTTGGCGTTCAGGCCTGACACGTTGAACTTGATTTCGGCGGTGACCTGCACCGGCTGGCCCTCTATGCGCGCCAATTCCTTCTGCAGAGCAAGCAGGGCGGACCGGACTTCAGCGCGAGGATTGAAAGTCGCGTTCAGCAGCTTGCTGTCACCTTCAAAGTGGTGATCAACGTTTGGATTAGACATGACGCGTGCCGGCGCGTTGTGAGAGGCGGCTGAGCTCAGCGGTGCGTGTTGAGCTGCAGAGGCGAAATCAGTCGCTCGGAGGCGAGGTGCGCGCGCGAGTTACGAGAGCATGCAGCAGCAGCAGCACTGAAACAGGGCCTGTCGTAATACCGTCGCACTTTGGCGGCGGCGGCGGCAGCAGCGATGGAGTGGTGTCGCGCGGACTCCTTGCTCTCGCCTTCCGCTGAGCTTCGAAAGGGAAAGGGAAAGGCTGGCTCGGCCCGGGGTCAATGCCCGCGATGGAGCGCGATGTACACGTGATGCGGCGTTGGGTGTTTTGCGCTCCAGTAATCCCTCGGCGAGCCTTGGCACTCTCCGATCTGCAAGGGTGGACGAACATCTCCTGACCAAGATGCCGGCTCAGAACGTGGCAGAGAGATTGACCTTTGATCATCCCATGTGCGGTCTAGATTTGCCGATGCCTCTAACAACGAGAAGATGCCCTTTGGACGAACACTCATCCACCACTTGCTGATCCTTATTAATAATTGGACCTCCACACCCAGCGCTCGAGGGCGCTCGCTAGCACGCTCATGGCTCCGGAAGGACCGACTCGGCTGAGCGAGCGAGCGAGCGAGCACAGCTGCACAGCACTGCACGGCACGGCACTGCGCTGCCATCCTTGCCATGATGTGCACATCGTGAAACACGACACGCAGTAGCTCCTCTCCCCTCCTCACCTCCAGCTTGCTGCTGCTCGTGTGCGACACCGTAATCTGCCTCCGCCTCCGCCTCCGCCTCCGCCATGCCATCACCCCATCCGCCTCCGTCTGCCTCCGCCAGCTCGCCGCTAGCCTGAACCCCATTCGTCGTTGACATACTTGTGCCAGCGAGGACATCGTCCCCATACGGCATCCATCTGAGCCCCGTCGAAGCTTCAGCCCATATGCAAAGCTTGCATGGCCATCCACTTTCGGCGAGTCAGGAAGGAACTGCTACCACTGCGTCAGGTTGGAACGCCTCCTTTTCTGGGCGCGAGAAGCGCTGGGACCTCGCAAGGCATGGCAGCCCAGCATGCGACCGAGAGCAGCGAAGACGAGTTTCACTCTCTGTCGGCTCAAGGAGAAGGCGCGGACGATGAAGACGACGAATCCGAATCCGTGGTCATGGCGCCTCCCAAACACCCCGTCCCATCATTTCAAGGAGCATTTGAGGAGTCGATTGTGGAATCGATGCAGAACGCGCAGGACTCCAGTTCTGACGCCCATCCCGACGCTGACATGAGACGTCGCAGACTGCTCGACGCGGAGCGCTTCGAAGGAGCTGGCACAAGATGGAAGCACAAGCCTGGCGCCAAATACCACCCATTCGTAAAGCTCATGGCACAGGTCGTCTTTGGGCTGCATCTGTTAATGGAAGGACAGGCCAAGTCCAACGAAGAGGTGGTCCGTATACTGCAAAGTCACGTCAACGAGGTCGACAGCTTTTTGGAGAGCACGTCGGACGACTTTGATTTGGCCATTAAAGATATTGAGGAACGAGTGCGCTATCTCAGACTGCCCATGCAACACATGGATGTCTTTGAAGTCATGCTGGACGAGAAGAAGTTTCGGACGGAGCTACTGGCTGGCAATGAGAAGATTGAAAAGATTATCGAGAAAACCGCAAAGGCTATGAACGCAGCAGTGTTCGACATCGAAAATGGTCTCAGATCTACACAAGAACTGAGTTACTATCTCACCCAGATCGAAGGTCGCTGGCCTACCGGTGACTCTGATATCTCCGAAGTATTTGCGGCAATGCGAGGAAACGAGCAAGGCTGGGACAAATATCTCAAGGACCTGAAGACAAAAAGCAAGAATTTGCGGCACAGTTTGGCTACCCTAGAATCCACAATTAGTGAGATCTCGAAGCACGCCGCTGCGGCAAGCCGACGCAACAAGCCGCAAAGCAACACAGTCTCACCTACGATGCGACAACCTTCAAAGTCGTCAGTCGCCTCGTCGCCCCTGCGATCCAAGTTTGCTGCGAAAAATTCAACCGTATATCGCAAGCCAGGACCATGGTTGGACAAGCCTCTCCCGAAAGAGCCATCTACAGGTGCTGCCGCATCGCAGACTGCGAATTCAAAGCCTCATCCCGTGCCTTTCGAGACCAGATATGAGCAACCTCGGCAACGTATCCCGACTCCGGGATCCAGGAGTAATGTCAATGGCCGTGGCAGCCCACTACGACCGCAGACAGCCACACGGCCACCAGATGAACGCACACACCAGAGACGAAGTATGAGAGATCTTGCAGATTTTCTGCGTCATTCCGACGGACTGCGCAGCCATCCCCCAGACGGCAGTCAATCCGGCCGATTCCCAGCGAAGAAGCCCCACAGATCGCAAAGTCATGATGGTGCTCGCATGATGACTTCGGCTACCGAAAAGAAACGCTTCAGACGTTCAAGAAGTTTCGGCGCAAACCCGACAAACCAGGAATCGGAGCGCAGAACAATACCCAGAAAGCCGGTCGGGTCTAGTACTGTCACTACTACTGTGAGCAGTGATGCCAAGAACACAAAAACGCAATTCGCTGGGCTCGGGAGAAAGGAGTCAGCCACACTAGGGTAAGTATGGTTGTTTTTGGGGCGCAGAGACCCAAAGACTAATGATCTTCAGTAGCAGTTTCTCCAGACGACTCTCTCGAAGGCTCAAAAACGCGCCTCCGATCACAAATCACGCTCCTCGCAGCTCTGTTTCCCGTCCAGTCGACTCCGCTCATGCATCAGAAAAGCAGCGACAAAGTGAAGATGTTGCTTCTGATCATGATAAAGATCTTACTCCTGATCTCGAACAGGATCTTTCGAGCAATCCTGTCAGAAATAGCAAAGACCAGCCACGACCGGGCTCCCGGAATCACAGCCTCTTTCCAAAAGACGTTGGTCCCCTAACGCCATCACAAGCAAGCCTGCGGGAAAACAGTCCAAGTCCACACAGGGCGGACAAGACTTGGGTCTCGTCGAACGATATTTCTCCGACTAGCATCTCTACAAAGCCCACCACACATGGTTCCAAAGCAAGTCGCACGTTGAGTCTGCGAAATTTCTTCTCTCACCACCGCAAGGAAGGCATTCGGAATGTGATGGTTTCTTGAAGATGAAGATGAATTGAGGAAATATACTTACAGCTTTTATATTTATGTTCCAGAGTGTTTATTACAGGCAGCAGCTCTCCGGCTAGGATCGAGCGCTCGAACGGCCGAGTTGGCAGCATTTATTTCCGATGGAATTACGGTGAATGCATTCGAATGGGAGGACCGGTCTACAGATGTGATGCGGGTCCAAGATGTAAGAAGACAACGAATAGACAGCTGCTATTAATAAGTTGGTGAACAATCATGAAAGCCTCGAGGACAAGCCGAAGAGCGGAGCTGGGTTGCATGTTCGCCTGGCATTTTCAGAAGTCACCCGGGCATCTCCAAGACCTATCTTGTTGTCCACATGTCTGTATAACACATCGTCGGTGTCACATCGCAGCGTAGCGAGTCTGATCCGAGTAGCTATAAACCTTCTGCCGGCGTTGGAAGTGAATGAGCCAAGATTTCTCCCGGCAAGAATGATCAATCTCGCCATCGGCTGGGTTGCGAGGTCGGCCGTGGTCGCGACACGCGCAATCATATAATACAGTCCATTTCGCGCTCATTCCATTTGAACGTTCTGTCTGATGTTTCGAACTGCTTGTGATATTCTCTTTTCCATGTACGCGCCATTCATTTCCCCTCTCGACATTCATTTCCCCTCTCCACGTCCGCAGGGCAGTTGCGACGCATAGACCGGAAGCAATCTCTGGCTGATCTTTCACCACGACCTCAATTCCAGTCATCACGAAGAAGTCATCACGAAGACGAAGATGTACCGCCTCGCGCAGTCATTTCAAAGACGCATCGGAGGAACGAACAGCATGATGATGGGTAACTTTCCGACATTCTAGCGCTGCGTATCGAAGAAGTCAATCTTACAATTGTCTTCCAAGCAACACAAGACAAGACAGGTCGGTTGAATGTCTGCTCGGCTGCGGAGGAGACGTCAGGTACCTACTTGCAGCCAAGGCCTCTCCACAAAACCACACTGCTGGGCGACACCAACGCCTCGTTTGACACGCGACCTGATCTGTGGAGTGCATATCGCTGTGGGGCAAACACCTGGAGAAGGCACATGTTTTGTTCTGGACTTGTGGAGCGATCATGTGTCTATCACGACTTCTTCCGCACTTCCAAGACTGCCTGTTTGCCAACCTTCTCTTGTGACTTGTCGCCAAGCCCTACGCGACCACCCAGTGTCCAGTCTCGTGATGCGAGTTCCTGTTGCACGACGGCCGTCTATCTGTTCTGGCCATAGTGCAGCATTGGCACCGCTCTCCCCTTGGACGAACTCCAGCCTCTCCACCGGCCCACCGCTTTCCTTCACTTGCCGCCCACCGGTACATGTTCAAAGCTGGGGAGCACGCACTACCACTTGCGTGATCAGAACTATCGCTTGGTTGTCATGTACACGGCGTACAAGAAGCAACATTCCAAGACGCTTGCTACCACGTTCCACTGCTGGGCGAGAAGCAACTCGCCTTACTCCCCACACATGGCGTTCTTGGCTGCTGGAGATGGAAAGCCTTCGAACAAGGCTTTCATGCACACAATCGACCGGCTGAAAGTTGAGCACACGCTCCTCACGCCCGCTCTATAAGACATGGCCCCGTCGTACAGCGGAGGCGAGGTAGGTCAGAGTCGCAGGTCTGCTCTCCCAGACTCAACCCAAGTCGCCACTCTTCTTCTCCACTTTCTTAAGAATTTCCTCGTCGTCCCAAGATGGCGGCCAAAGTTGGGAACGAGAAGACCGGCGTGACCTACGATGAGGTCTTGTCGCCAACTCAAACCAACGACTTTGAAAAGATGCATGCGGAGAAACGTCAGGCTGCGGGCATCGATTACTCTGGTGCCGCGGAAAAGACTGACCCGAGGGAGATCAAGCTCGTGAAGAAGCTTGATTGGTATATCATGCCAACGTAAGTGGCAGTCAGCCTCAATCTGGGCACAAGACATGGTCAAGACTCAAGAAAGCGAAGCATTTATACTGACAAGTACGTATAAGGTTGTGGTTGATGTATTGGCTCAACTACCTCGATCGCAACGCCATTGCCCTCGCACGTCTCAGCTCGCTCGAGGACGACACCAAGCTTGAAGGAAGCCAGTACCAAACCTGCGTGTCGATTCTCTTCGTCGGATACATCCTCGGACAAGTGCCATCCAACATGTTGATCACGCGAGTGCGACCGAGTTATTACATGTCTTCGTGCATGGTTCTCTGGGCGATCGTCTCTGGTCTTACCGCTCTCTCACACAACTTCACCGGCTTGCTGCTTACAAGATTCTTTCTCGGTGTCGTCGAAGCTCCGTACTATCCAGGTGCACTGTACATTCTTGGGATCTTCTACACGCGCAAGGAGATCGCGACTCGAATCTCAATCCTCTACACCGGGAATATCTTGGCTACTGCCTTCGCGGGTCTCATCGCAGCCGGGATTTTCGAGATGCATGGAATGGGGGGCCTTGCGGGATGGCAGTGGCTCTTCATCATCCAAGGCGCAGCGACTTTTGTTGTTGCGTTCGGTTCGGGCTTCATCCTGCCAGACGACCCGCTTCGCACACGCTGGCTCACACCGGAAGAACGTGAGCTCGCCAACAGCCGTGTCCTGGCTGATCAGGTCGGCGCAAGAGCTGGGACGTCGAGCTGGGCGGGTCTCAAAGAGGCGGCGAAGGATCCTAAAATTTGGCTGTACGTTCTCGTTCTCCGTTATCCGCTACTGAAAACATCAGCATCCTAACTTCATATCTAGCTTCGCATTCATGCAACACATGCATCTCGCCGCCAACGGCTTCAAGAACTTCTTCCCCACCGCCGTCAAAACGCTCGGCTTCACCACAACCGTCACGCTAGTCCTCACCTGCCCCCCATACATGATCGCAGGCGCAATCTCAATCGCATGGTCCTGGTCATCAGGTCGCTACAACGAGCGAACATGGCACATAACCGTCGCCAAAGCCATCGCAATCTTCGGTTTCGTCCTCTGCGCCGCCACGCTCAACACCGGCGCTCGATACTTCGGCATGGTCGTCTTCGCCATCGGAACCTACGCCGTCAACTCCATCATCCTCGGCTGGGCCAGTGCGACTTGTGGTCAGACCAAGGAGAAGAAGGCTAGTTCTTTGGCTATTGTTAATACTATCGCCAACGTCAGTTTCATCTGGACGCCATACCTGTGGCCTGATTTTGATGAGCCGCGCTATGGGATTGCTATGGGTGCGAGTGCGGGTTTGTCGATGCTTTGTGCCGCTGCGGCGTGGGCTATGAGGGGCTGGTTGAAGAAGATTAATAGGAAGATTCGGCAGAGTGATGATGAGAGTATTTTGGCTTTTGCGTATTAGATGGGTAGGGAGGTGAGGGGAGGCTTGGTGTGTGAGGGATGATATATGTCCACGTGAACAGATATGGTCATGGTTCAAATGGAGACGATTGTGGTCGAAATGGAATTTTCTCTTGCCTGTACTTGCTCGATGTCACCGTTGCCCGTCACCTGAATACCTCGAAACACTGGCGAAGGCGGAGGCGATAGGTGAGCTAGTTACGCCGGCGGGAGACTATCACGATGTGTGGTAGGCTCGAGGGGTTTTGTTTGGACGACTCTTCCAGGCCAGACACCAGGTCACTTGTTCGACCGTCCGCCGCGTTTGAACGCCGAGGATTCTTGTTGCAATGACTTTGGAAGTAGCGCTTGTGTGGAATGTCCACGACTTTCACTGCTGGTTTGGAGCATCGATATTTGAGGGGATATCAGACCGTGAGGGGCGGAACGTGTGGAGGATGCTGTTGCAGTATTGGTTGCCAGATTGCCAAGCCAAGCCACAATCTCCAGGTCGATCATTCTGATATTACGATCGGCTCCATGTGTTCGTTGACATGAAACGCTCTTCATGTCAAGATTGACGTGCCGCTTCTTCTCTGTTCCTCTTAGACACATCTACCTTGCTTCCCAGTCGCTGCTGTCGGCCCCAGCACGCAGATATCTTCGACGATGGCTTCGCAACCGCAACCACAACCGCAATCGCGCATGAATGGCCCGATGTCGAGATCTTGCGCTCGGCCGACGTTGGAGCGCAGAGAAAGAGCAGCGGAAGGAGGTGTGGTAGGCATGAAGAATGAAGTGAAGGCAGGACTCGGCGAACGACGAGGTCGAACTCGAAGCAACCCCCACATTTGGGCGACAACGATATTGCTGCAACACAATACGACCGCCTTTGCACGCGCTACAAGGAATCTAATATTAATATGATGGCTGATGAGCAACAATCCACGGTCTCTGGTGAAATGCTGGTAGGACATCCAAGCACGATGATAAGGGGACTGCAATGTGATCGCGTGCCCCTAACATTTTGGACCGGCATTGCGCTACGACCGGTTTTCCGCTATGCTGCCTAAGGCACGATCTTGGCAACTTGCTAAGATATAAATTAGGTATGGCGCCATTAAAATTCGCTTAACGCCGTACGGTTATACTATTATATACTCGTAGTCTATACGTTATATATTCGCTAATTACGACTCTACTATTTCGTATTTTACGCTTTAGTTATAAGTAAACTTCCCTATTACTTCTATTATATTCGTAGCGTTAGATTAGCTAGTAACGTAATATACTATATATACTAGTTTACTATCTTTTGTATTATTAGTCTATTAGAAGCTTTAGAAAAGTTATAATTTACTTTATATACTTTAATTACTTTACTATTTATAAGATAAACGTATATAGGTTACGTATATACGTAGATAGTAATACGTAGAGCGCTATAAAACAACGTCGTCTTTCGTAGTTTAACCTAAACTTCTTTCTACTATACGATACTAAGCTACTTTCTAGTACTATACCCTTATATTAGGCGACTATTCTTACTATTTATAGGAATAGAAGTATAGTATATAGAATAAAATCGATTTGTTTCTTATTATATTATACGTACTAGTATTTAGGAAGTAGCGTTCTTACTAAGATTATACCTTAGGTAGGATAGCGGAAAACTAGTTACCGGTCGTAGCGTAATACTAGTCTAAAATATTATCGCCTATTATTTAGTTAGTAAGGGCGCGACTCTTACTCTTATAGTAAAGCTATAATAGGTAATATATATAAGGAGGATAGAGTAGATCTACTAGAACTAGAGATTAATAGATACGGATTCTATTACTAGTACCTTCTACTATCCTAAATCTTAGTAAATAGACTACGTATTTCCTCTCGCCCTTACTAGTATACTCTATAATTAATCCGGGATTGCAATCTAGATTAGCCTAGCAATTTAATCTAATCTAATCTAGCTTATTCCTACTAACTAAGCAATCTAATTTAATTTAATCTAGCCCCTTTCTAAAGTAATCTAATTTAATCTAGCCCCTTTCTAAAGTAATCTAATTTAATCTAGCCCTTTCTAAAGCAATCTAATTTAATTCCGGGGCTAAAGGGCTAAATTAGGTAGGCTTAGCAATTTAATCTAATCTAATCTCGCCTAGTCCTACTAATTTAGCAATCTAATCTAATCTAATCTAGCCCCTATTAAAGCAATCTAATTCAATCTAATCTAGGGGTCCTAGTAATTTAATTTAATTTAAAAGGGTCTAGATTAATTAAATTAATTATAGACTATACTAGTCTTATACTATATATATAGAGGTAAGCATTCTTATATAAAATTAGCTTATATTTGCTTAGTCTTAATAAACTTATTCTTAATATATTTAATCTATTTTCGCTTAGGTTAGTCGTAGAGGCTACGTAGAAGCGCGTTAATTAGTATAATTGCTTTATTTATCGAGTCGTTATAGCTTATAACTAGTCTCCGTTCTTTTATATTTTAATACTATAAGTATACAGTTTAAGGTCTCTTTATATCTATCGGCCTTAAAGCGCTTATAGAGTATAGCGTTAACGTATTTATAGTAGAGATAATAGCTTACTTCTATCTTACCTCTTATTAGACCTAGAAAGGCGATTTTAACTGCTCGCTATTTAGTACTACTATTGTTTATTACCTAGTATCTAGAAGTCTACCTTATACTATTTTCTTAATACTATCTCTTAATAATAAGTATATATAATAATATAACGTCGCCGTCTTTATATTCTATAAGAAAATAGAAGATATAGCGCTAAGAGCTAGTAGTATCGCGTACTGTAATAGTAATTTAGTAAATAGTTTCTAACCTAGGAAATTTGTCTAATATATAGAATCTACTAAATAAAGCTACCTATATTTCTATAGAAGCTATAGTCTTTCCTATCTAGTAAATATATATCTAGTAGCATTAGCGCTACTTTAACAATACTTAGTTTTAACGTATTCGTATAGGTATTATACTATTACTACTATAAGCTAGTTACTACTAGTACCTAAGGAAGATTCTAAATAAGGAAAATAGAAGGGATAATATAGGAGAAGGGATAGTCCCGCGCTAGTTAGCTACTTAGAGGTTACGCTAAGAGATAAGCTAACCCGCTTATAGATACTTAGCGGCTATAACTCTAACTATTAATACTTTAAGAAAATAAGAACTTATACTCTTATAACTAATCTCTTAACTTACCTATATAAAGGTACCTTATCGACCGCTAGTATATTAGATATTAGGATATACTTTTATAGAAGCCTCGAGCGCTATTAAGAATATATATTCGCTTAAAACTAGGGCCTCTAGAAGTCTTAAGAATCCTATATTATCTAGAGGTATTTCTACCTATTATATTATCCTTTATTTCTGCCGCTTTATAGCCCTTCTACCTTTCGTTACTCTATCCCCCTTATATATATTACTCTATAATCCCCTTACCGAATTCCTTAGTTAAGTCCGACGAACTAAAGTAGAGTAAGAATTGCTGTTAAATGCTACGTACGAAATCTAATCGTTTCGTGCGGTTAGATTCCTCACTCTAGTCGACATGCCCGTTTTGCCGGTAAAGCCGGACAGCCAACGAGTTATGACAGGGGATACATGGACAGGACTCATCTCAGGCGAATAATGCGATATGATACGAGTGCCGGTAAGTGCTCAGGCGCGTTTTGCAGTCGGCGAGCCTGCTTCGATCCAACAACGCCGTCGCACTCATCAAACTCAAGCTGGGAATCCTTCAGGCAATGCTGCACTCGGTACATGCAACATGCCTGCGCGCTGACCAGCCCGCCATGCTCTCGAGGCAGAGGCAGAGGCAGAATGCGCGCTGCTTTCCAACCCACATGACCGTGCTGTCGTCGCGCGTTGCCGAGCACTGGAACGGCCGGCCATGGCAACGCATACTCTCCACGGCTGCTGCGACGGGAGCAAAGCGGGCGAGAGGGCAGAACACGAGTGGCAAGTGCAGCATCGGGCCTGATCCGATGCACCACGCTCGGCAGTAATGATCACTCAATCCGCTGTCTCCGTACGAAAGCCGGCCGATGCATGTTGACTTTGAAGTCAATTCCCCGTACCGACGCCAAGAAACGCCGCACGCGGCAGGCACATCCCAGCAGTTTCTCACTCTCTTGCGCGCATTGTCTGCAGCGGTCATGGGCGTGGGAAGGCACGCCCTGCTGACGGCCGGGTACATGCACATGCACATGCAGCGTCCAGCTGTGCATGCCGCATTTACACTCATCAACATTACTCACAGGGACCCATGGCACGGCGGAAATGATACTGCACCTCGCTAATAATAATGATCCTCGCAACCTCATGCCTACCACGCCGCGCCTCGCCTCGCCAGCAGTACGGAGTGTGCATCTGACGAGACCGCCTTTCTCGCGCTCCCTTGTTCTTTCATACAAGCGCCCGAGATGATGCGATATGGGTAGCATGAAACCAAACCTCCTGCTGCTCTCTCCTGACACGCATGCTTTCGCGCTGGCGCCGTTGCTTTGCTGCTATTCGAAGCCGTGTTTCGAGCCGTGCCATTTGCCATCACTCTCGATGGCCTCATCGCGATGTTGCCCTCCCGTACAGCGTCACATCCCGTACGCCCTACACTGTGCGTTGCTCCTCCCATGACGACGGACCACGCCCAACATGCCTGAACTGACCTTCCGTCTGCGCACCGGCAAAATCACACCAATCATGCACGGACCACTCATTCGCGCTCCTGAGCGTAAGTTCAATTGCACGGCTCGAAAGAGCAGGCCCCAGCTTCAGCAGGTCCATCTCCCTTGCACCTGGCAGCCTCAACCCTACGAGAGCCACACGAAGCAAGCCAACTGCATATATAAGATGTCCTCTGCTGCATGCTCTTCTTCTCTCATCAGTAAACTGCAACAGCCTCTCCGAGCAGCAAGTTTCCTCATCCAACTCTTTACATTCGTTTACAAAGCTCCCACACTCCTTCCCACATTTGCAATGAAGGCCTCCGCCGTCCTCGCAGTCTTCGCGACTGCCCTGCTCAGCAGCGCTACCCCAACGCCAGAAGACAACGGCTCCGATGGTGGCGTACTCTCATACGGAGGTGGATCGGCACCACCACCAGCGCCAGTCCAGTCATACGGAGGTGGACCACCACCACCACCACCATACCCAGTCCAGTCATACGATGGCGGATCAGGACCTCGTATGAATTCCTTTTCCCCTTCGACGCCTCGCCAGCGTCGAGTGGCCTGGTGACTTGAACACGCTGACCAGTCTATTAGCATTCCCACCTGTCCATCCCACTTCGGGATACCCATGGGGAGGTGCAGGTGGCTCAACTGGCACTGGCGGTGGTTCGCCCCTGCCATCTACTGGTGGCAACAACAACCCATGCGGTAACAACCAGGTCGCCTCTTGCTGCAACGGCAACGCAGGATCTGGCGGTCTTCTCGGACCAATTCTCGGTGGCAACTGCGGCATCCTCGGACAGCACCCATGCAGTCAAGGCGGCAGCGCTTGCTGCACCACTACCCAGAGCGGCCTCATCAACTTGGCCCTGCCTTGCAAGCTTTTCGACTCTCTGTTGTAAGAAGCGCCTCGCGGACGTCCTACGAACTCGGTGGGCTGGTTTTACGATGGTGACGAGCAGATGAGCACCACTTAAGAGGGCGCTGCCAGCTACGGTACACGGAGGCACGCAGTTTTCTTTCTCGAATCACGGTCTGCAGTTGACAATAGCGATGCGCTCCGTTTTGTGGGGCTAATCAGCGTCGGACTTATTTACACACGGAGAGGCGCATTGTAATTAGTGACAGCTCGGGTCTCGTAATGAGCAACGCAGTTTGCACGGCATTGGAAACTTGTTAATAAACAGAGTCGCATTTTTCCTATGAATCTTCATTGCACATATTCTCATGTACTCTTCACAGAATCGACTCTGCGGCGCCTCTCCAAAAAACCAAAACCCACACTTCCCGATCTTTGCTAATTGTCATCCTAACCGCAGGATTCCTTTGCCATAACTACGATGACGTCCGACAACATTGCCCCTTCAACAACGAGGACGAGACGGCAGCGCAGCATCGAACCCACAGCGCAGCAGCTACAGCCCTGTCAGGAGGTGAAGTTGCAAGCCGAATACCCCAGCCAGGCACCAAAACTCTCGAAACTCTTTTGGGCAAACTCACAACAACAGGGGGGGGCACGGGCCACGGGCCACGGGTTGGCTGCGGCTCAATTGTCTACGAGATGCAAAGAAGAAGAAGGGGAAAAAAAATCACCCCAACCCTTCCACCTTGTCGAAGAGAGATGAGATTTCCTGCGTTGCCCTGGTATTTGGGCTAGGGCTTATCCTCGTCGATTCTAATCACTGGCTACAATAACTAAGCTACCTGTCATTATCAGGCGAACCTTGAAAATTTTTGGCTTTTTTTCTTTTCCATCTCAATTTTTATTATTATCCGAGGTTGTTGTGCTGTAGGTGTTGGTTGGTTGGATGAGGGGTTTTTCCGAGTCGCTAGTTATGCCGTGCAGCTTCGATTTCGTGGTGGTGATACATATGATGAGGGGAGGAGAGGATGTGTTTCATCGGCGCAGGCAGCAGGCGATCGAGGTTCTATTTATTGATAGAATATACTCAGGAGCATACTGTTCTGCAAATCAATTCTATGGGCTGGCGTTGTTTCAGGTTGGTGGTGGGTGGGTGGGTGGGTGAGGAATTGGATCTGGATTGCTGTTATTAATCGGCCTTGATGAGGACGACGTGCAAGACTTGACTTGACTGGTGCGGCGCCCGAGGAAGATTTTTTACCATACCATACCATACTACTACTGATTGATCCTTCGTTCTTCTAGACCGACAGCGGGCTTTGCATTCGCTATCATGACCTCAAGATAAGCATTGTAACATACTCCCAAGACTTTGCGGCAGTCCAGGTACGAAAGACACCGCAATATCGATCAAAGCGGACATCTGGAGAGAACTATGAGACACGGCGCTGAAGGACCTTGAACTTCCTATCGATGGTTGACGGAAGTAGGTCCTAATGATCGACTTGCATCGCACGCTACTACACTAGAGTACTTCTTAATGGCGCAATCTCCCATGCAAGCACGTTTAGTGCTATGCGCTATCGAATCCGCTTTCCAAATTCTACTATCGAAGACGGCCGAAGGGCGTGCGAGGACGTAGGATCGCGACTCTTTTGCGGCGAGCTGACGCTTCGAGAATCGACGCTCAAAGCAGTACGTTCTGTCTCACCGTTCACGATTTCATCACGAGTGACAACCAGCGTGTCATTCAGCTTGCCTGCTCTTCTTCCTCTGGTGCGCCATCCTGTACTCGCTGCGTATGCGAGGCTTCAGAAAGACGGGCTGGTTCGCTGTGACGGCCATGCAGGGCGCTTTGGGCAGTGGCTTCATGGACGCGTGAGTGAATGACTTGAACGCGATTTTCTGTTCAGAGGATGCGGCATCTTTCGAATGTCGAGGGATGGCACGGCCCGATCACATCCGTAGAGACATCCAAAAGTACGCATATCGACAAAATATTAGAGGAGGTAGTGCAAGCCACGATCCTCGACTACAGCTGCTGGTTCGCATGTGCTTCATGACCTGTTCCGACTCGGCAAGCTCTCGGAATACAGGCAAAACTCCGATTGCTATCTTTGCAGCATTCTATGTCTATTTATGATCTTTGAACCGACCTCATATGAACTTACGCAGATATTCAACCAGCATCATCGTGGCCATGGCCTGTCCATAAGGCATTGACGTCCGCGGGATGTCTTTATAATGCTGTAAGTCGCTGCCCATCCCAGTCCCAAAGCTAACGTCCTTCAGTTCGCCATCCTTGTCGATGCGCTTCAAGACAGCCTGGACCGCCTTTTGAGCAACTGGCTCATACTCTTTACTGAGATATCGTTTGCGTACTCCTTTCAAAATGCCGTACGCAAAGCCTGCTGTAGCCGAGGCCTCGATGTAGCTACCTTCGCTCTCTGGAACATCAAGAAGTGTTCGCCAGGAGCCATCTTCTGCTTGTAGGCGCTTGAGCGCTGAACACTGAGCTTCCAGTGTGTCGAGAAGATGCCGCCGGAATGCGTCCCCTGGCGACAGGTCGAGAAGCTCGATAAAGTCCGGGATGAAAATCGTCAGCCAGGAATTACCGCGAGCCCATCGAGCACGAGCGAAGTTGTGTCCAAATCCACCTGGTGCAGAAGAATCGAATTTCCAGCCATGGAAGAAGAGACCAGTCGCAGGGTCGAAGAGATATTTGATATGCAGCAGGACTTGTGCCTTGGCTTCTTCGATATAATGCGGCCGTCCAAGCAGCTTTCCGATCTTGGCCAGTGGCATCACAGTCATCATTAGTGTGTCGTCCCAAAGCTCCTGATCATTCTGTCCTTTAATCTGACCATCCGGAGCGACATGGACATAGGTGATGTGCTGAAAGCCGCCAAACCGCGTCTTGGGCAGATCATACATCGCCCACTCAGCCCATGAGTCTAGCCAGGGAAGGTAAGTTTGTTCGCCAGTCTTCTCGTAAAGATATGCTAATGCCAGGAATACAGCCATTGTATTGATATTCTTGGTCGTGCCACTCGGCAGCTGGCTCTCGAACCAAGCTTTCACGACCCGCAGAGCCTTCTCTGAGCCTGTTTGGGCATGAAACTGCCATACCCCGTAAAGACCTTCACGACTGTCAGCCGCTGTGAAGCAAGATCAGGCTGCCAGACTGACCAATCCCCTGCGTCCACTCCCAATCAGACCATCCTTTGGTATCGATCATTCTGCCATCTTGCAGTGTGAGCAAGAACTTTCCTCCTTCATCCTTGATGCTCACAAGATTGTCAATCAAGAGCTCGACCTTGGTCTTTACATCAACAGCAGACAACCCATCAACAGTCAGTGCTTGCTGAGGCATGATTGGATATGTTGTACGGCGCGACAAATCCTGGTGCCAGGCTCGCGTGCGGAAAACAGCGCGCAACACTTTTAATCGAACAAGCGACCTCTCCCCAGTGACCGAACCATGCCAAGCTTGGGGGTCACCCTACCTCCACATGCGCATCCCCACATCCCCACACCACATGCGGCGGCTGAGTTCCCATGTCTCAACTCCAGTTTTTCCCACCCCAGTCTCCGCTTTTAATGCAATCGCCATCCATGCCATGTTCGCTCGGTGGATCATTATTGAGAGACACTCGTGATGGCAACTTCATTTGTGGCTGATCTACCGCGGTACAGGCCATGTTTTCCGTCCAATTGATGACCTGTACTCGGGCCGCATAGATTAACCAAAGGCATGGATAGCATCGTGGTATTTCCACCTCGAACCCCGGAACTCGTCTTTTCGCGCCTTGCTCTCACAACTGTTTTTTGCAGTGATTGATCATGGCCAACGATATCGAGAACACCACGAGTGTCGAGCACGTCGCTCAACACGAAGAGAAGAAGAACATCAATGCCGCCGAAATCGAGCGGGTCATGACTCCCGATGACCTGAAGAAAGATCACCAAGACTATGGCCGTATCGATGTGCGCGAACAACACCATTAAAGATCCGCACACCACTGACATCCTTTGAACAGGCCGAAGTCGCAAAATACGCCAACGCAACCCGCATAGAAATCACTCCCGCCGAAGACAAACGCCTAAAACGCATGATCGACAAACGCGTCCTCACAATCATGGTCTTCACCTACTTCCTCCAAGCCCTAGACAAAGGCACCCTATCTTTCACCTCAATCATGGGCCTCCAAACCGACCTCCACCTAGTCGGCCAACAATTCTCCTGGCTAACAACATGCATCTACATCGCAATCCTCATCGTCGAATACCCAATAAACCGTCTCATCCAAGTCCTCCCCATCGCAAAATTTCTCGGAACGTGCGTGATAATCTGGTCAGCGGTCCTCGCGTGCCATGCTGCGGCACACAATTTCACGGGAATGGTCGCGTTGAGAACGCTTCTGGGCACGTTCGAAGCGGTGTGTCAACCGACGTTCTTGATCATGAGTTCCATGTGGTATAAACGTGAGGAACAAGCGCTCATGGTCTCGTTCTGGTACGCGATGAACGGAATGCAACAAATCGTCGGCGGTCTCTTGGCCTACTGTTTCAGTCTGATTCATTCCGGACCCATCAAATCTTGGCAAGCCATCTTCATCACGTACGGATGTTTCTCTGCGCTCTGGGGCGTCTTCGTGATTTGGTATTTACCGGATTCTCCCATGCGCGCCACGTGTTTTTCCGAAGACGATAAACATCTGATGGTGGAACGCGTGCGAGCGAATCAGACGGGTCTGCAAAATAAGAAGTTCCGGAAAGAGCAAATGTGGGAAGCTTTTACCGATTTGCAGTGTTGGTGCTATTGCCTCATACAATTCTGCACGACTCTACCTACAGGCGGTCTGGGAGCTTTCGCGAATATCATCATCAAAGGGTTTGGGTTCACGACGCTGCAAACGCAACTTCTCGCCATGGTCTTGGGAGCGTATATCATCATCATCTTATTCTCCTCCGCATGGCTGGTCAAGAAAACGCAACAGAATATTTTGATCATGGCGGTTTACTGTCTGCCGAGTTTTGCGGGCACGATTGTGTTGATGACGGTGGAGAATACGAGTACTGCGACGGAAGCGGGACTTTTGATCAGTTATTATGTCGTGTTGAGTTTTTGGGCGGCGCAAGGTTTGGGGATGAGTATGTTGAGTCGGAATGTTGCGGGTCAGACGAAGAAGTCTGTGGCTGTGACTATGAATTTTGTCGCGTGGGCTACGGGGAATGCTATTGGTGAGTTGATAGGGGAGAAAAGGGAGATGTTGAGGATGATTTCTTTGGCTAATGTTTGTTGTGTTTAGGTCCTCAAGTGTTCTTGAAGTGGAATGCTCCGAGATACTTTATTGCCTTCTCGACGCATTTGGGATGTTACACTTTGCTTATCTTGACTCTGATCGTTTTGCGGTGGACGCTGAGCAAGCGCAATTCTCAACGGAACGAAGCTGCTGCTGCGGGTGTGCATGAGGCTTCGGATGATGCTATGGTGCATGCTTTTGAGGACATGACGGACAAGGAGAATCCCAACTTCCGGTACATGATCTAGATGATACACTATGAAGCCCAAGGGAAGCAGAATTGACAGATATACTCTACCTCGATCCGTCACAAGATCCTGCTATATCACTGCATCGAGTACCTTCTATACCTTACTTTATTTGACTTGAGATGTTGAGCCTGAATGCATGTACGTTACGACATCTCGCGACCTGATCAAGCCAACTATTTCACCTCCAACCTCAAAGCATCATACTGCACATACACACTCTCCGCCAACAACGCACTGTCATCACCTGTAGCATTCCGCGGCAAACTCAACAGAAATTCATTCCTCCCAACTCTGAGCTTCGACACGTGAAAAACGAATTTATGCGATAAGTGATAGCAGCTCACGGCAGATCTCACTGCACAGGAGCTGCTTTGGTAATACCTGTACAGAATGTCAGCGAATATGAACATCATTCGATGTGGAATTTTTTGATATTTACGGTATGATCCAAGGCTCCAAATGATGACCATTGACAGAGACAGTGTATGGAAGATTTGAGTACCGTTGACTCGAATTAAAGATGTCAGTATTTCCCGCGGCGGTCCTGGCTGCTGCGAGTTGGATGGTGAAAGTCGCGGTAGTCTTGTCGGAAAGGTCTTGGGATGAGGCATCAAACAGAATCTTCCAGTTGTTCACGATTCCATTCTCATGATATGGCTCTGTGCGGATGGAATTCCCGTAGCCACCGAAGACGGACCAATGAACATAATTTAGATCTTTGGCGATACTATCGTTTCCAACGTGAAAGGAGACGCCATGTGGGAAGTCTTTGACGAAGTCGTACACGGCGAAGTAGATTCTTCTTTCGGCTAGGTGTTGAGGATGTGTTGGATCGGGATGTTCGCCGTGCAAGTACTCTCCCGAACTCCAATCTGGTGTTCCAATTCTCCAGAGCTCTGTTCCTGCGCTTTCTGACTGCCAGATTGCTGAAGTTTTGGTGGTATGTCCAGCTTTTACGATGATATTATCATGTATAAACTGACCGAAAATGCCGCTTCCGTAGATGGTAAGACGATATGTACCAGATTTGACCCTGTCTATGGTTACTGATCCATCCTGATTGATGTCGGCCCAGTATTGATGTGCCGTGGTATCGAAGACGTTGTCCTGGATCTCAATCCCCGCAGCACTCAGAATGGCAACCGCATTTTGCGCTTTCTTTGGTAGAGTAAGGTGACCTGACCAGGTCCCGCGGCCTGAGGATGGAATGTAGCCTTCTACGTGTGGCGCGATGCTATCGTAGAAGTCTGACCATTTTCCAGCATTCGCGTATACTTTTTCAGCATCACTTCTCAGTTGCTGTAACGACTCTCCGTTACTTCCGTGATTGAAGTAGTAGAAACCGGGCCCAAAAGTCCTTTCAAAACCGTTCGTGATGTTCGGAGTCTGATCGCCATGGTGATTTGACACAATGTAATCGTAGACATAACCGTCGACTGTAAGGTCACTGTGCGTAGGGCCACCGAAATATGTATCCTTGTTCGCCATGACAAACCATGCACCGAATGTGTCACTAGCAGCAGATGGAGTTGAAGTCAACCCATGAACTGTATGATGTCTCCAAGAGTCCGAGAATGTGTACTTGGTATAGTAAGATGATGTTGATTCCACGTATGGGTCAGAAGCATTGGGAATCAACCAGGTGGCATCTTGTACCATTGCTTGCCCGTGCGGTGCTGTGGTATTGAGAGCTGGAGCAGCAGGATTATAATTCGGCAAGGGTGAATACACGTCGGCAGTAGTAGATAAATGGCTCCATAATTTCGTATTGTGTCTGAACAATGTTCTCAATTCTTGCAGGTTGCGAAGGAAAGGCGTTGTTAAATTATGATATGTGAGACGAGTGAATGTATGCAATCCAGTTTCTTCGCCTCTCAGGAAGAAGTATTGTTGAAATGTTTGGTTGGTGGGTGCATAAATCTCGAATTGTATGACCCCAATCCATGGCGTATTGGTGGTATCTATGCCCGAGAGGAGAGTGTAGTGGGTATTGTTTTGTGAACGAAAGGGAGTGTAGGCGCCGGAAGGAGTACAGTAACAATCGAGATATGGGCCCACACCTGTTGAGCCGTTCTTGGTGCCGAGCAGATTTTGATTGTCAAGAGTGAGAATGTCGATCAGGCCAGTGGTCTTGTCTAGAGAGACATTCAGCCGTGAGTTACCAAACGTTATCCTATGTGTTGCTTCGTGAGAATTCAGTTTCGCAAGCGCTGGGCCAGCAAGTATCGTCAAGAGAGAGGTACATGTGGTCAGCCGCATGATCGATCTTGCCAAGCAGCCAGTGGTTGAAATGGTACCCGAACGTGAAATGGAGACCCCAGTTGGGGAGAGGCTGGAGTACATGGCGGGCCCATGATTGTATACATACTCATGAAGCATGCTACAGGGTGCAAACAGCCTCCGTCAATCGACCAGTATATGATTCTGCCGGTTGGTCTCCAATTGCGCAGACACGGCGGGGTTGTTTGACCCGACGGTGTGACCTTCACATTCACTCTGACCTTTTCGAAGAAACAACCGAATTATTTGTTGTTGCGAACACCCCTGTGCAAAGACTGTGAGCTATCGTCGTGAATAGAGCCTTCCAAACAAATTTCCGATCTTGAGATGGAGCTTCTGGCCTCCAGATTTGGTATCAGGGGTTCGTCCGTTGGTCAAGACTCAAGAGGTCCCAGGTCCCCAGCCCCCAGCTCTCCCGGGTCATAAAGTTATTGGAAATTTGGGACCATCACCACGCACATTTCTGCTAGATCCCTTCCCTCAGCGGTACGCTGAATGGCTGCCGTGGCCGTAACTTACTGACCAAGTTCGGAATCAGATACTTTGGATCTTGCCCTTGAAGCTTTTTCGCTTGCTGGTGACAATAATTCTCCTTCAGTTACGGCTGTGGGGTGCTCGGCGTAGCTGACCCCGGGGTATGAAATGAAATGTCTTGGCTTCGAACAGCAACTCGTTCGCGCATCCGAAGTCATCTCCCTGATAACTTATGATACAGAGCCGCATCCATCTCTCCAGTGGGACTCCCGGGTAAGAGATCCTCGCGCCTTTGATCTCGCCATGCCATCGCAGCCGTCGTCGCGCACATGCTGCGGGTGGGGGCCTTGTTTCCTGGGCGGTCTGTAGGGGGACTGAAAAGAAACAGGTCGATGCCTAAGGGCTGCAGAGATAACAATATCAATTTTGCGCTGTCAAGCACGGGTATCTCCAAAGTCAACGCCAGCAGCTATGCAGATCCCATTCCATGCTCGTATCCCCTCGATATCATATACACGTAGCGCACCACCTCCTAACAATGCAAAAGATCATCTATTCATCCCTACACCATGGGAAGCCTGCACATGATTGCCCATCACCTCTCACGCTTCTCAATCTTCATAACCTCCCTGAGCAACCATACTGGCCAGTACAATCAAATACACCAAGAACACGGCTCCAATAATCCAGAAGGAGAATGCAGCCAACCAGCTCTGACATATGCTGTTCTGCTCTAGCCATGCCAGGGTGTTGATGCTGAGATCTTTGGAGGGATTGTCGAAGACGAATTGTTGACACTTAGAATTGATGTCTCCGGCAGGTCCGAAGAGTTGGATGGCAGTCTCGATCAGTCCTGTTATGTACAGAACGAGAAGGATGAAGGAGCCGATAATAAGGATGCCGGGAAGCAGGCGTCGTTGGATGATCAGGAGGAGCATGAGAATGATAAATGCGATAGTAAGGGCTCCGACTGTGATGCCGAATGGCATGATCCTAGGAGTCATTGTCAGCTTTTATGGTCTGCATTTATCCTGTTGATGCGCTGTTACTCACCATGGTATGCCCAACTTCCCTAAATGCGTCTGAACAACAACGAAACTTGAGAACACACCCACCAGCACCCCTCCCGCTGCCAGCATGATTATGATCCATACATTCAACTGCCAGTCGGGCCAATAGTATGATTGCCGCACAATGACCCTCTCCCGGGTCATACTACTTCTCGCCATACTGGAGTATGAGGCCAGGGTTCCCGGGCCTCGACGTGTAATTTTGGAACTCGTTTTGAAGGCTTAAAGAATGCTTTGGGTGTGGTTCGGGTGCCGGCCGGCGATTGGAGTGATGGCAGTGTTTCGTCGCGTCGTTCGCAATGCGCCGGCGCAAATTTCGCGAGTGTCGTGTAGAGCTGTATTGCCGGGTGATGCGAGCGTGTCGATGCTGTATATATGCGGTGCCGTTCAGGCTCGTCTGCGTTGGGCGAGAATCATGCAGAGAGTAACGCGGCGGTCAATGAGCGCGTTACACGCTTCGTGAGGTGGGGTACGCGGCGTGAATTATTGGCGACGGCGACGGCGAGCTCTATTCGAGCATACAGCAGAAATGATATTCTAGCTGATTGTTGCAAATTGGTAGAGGCGTAAGAGGAGTCGCTCAGCGAAGGCGCGAGCGGTGGGCATTTCTGGACTCTGACGTATCCTTGCCATGTGTGTGAATTGACGTGGTTGGAGATGGCTGGAGCACAAGGTTTGCGGTATACGTCCGTGCCCGAGACTTCGGCTTCATCTTTCATCTCTGCACTTCTTGCTTCTTGAGCACGCCGCAAACAATGACACCAGCAGACGTGTCCATAATTATCTGCAATTGAACGAGGCGCAAGGAGGGATGTATATTTCGAGTGTCCGGATTCTGCGAGGAAGACTTTGACGAAAAAAGAAACCGAGGCTTTGTAGGGGGAGTTCGGGGAGAGATTAGAGGCTGGAGGAGTGGAGTTTGAGGAGGTTGTGAGGAGATGGAAGGAGAATTTTGGCAAGGAGAAGAAGGGCAAAATTGGTGGTGATATGCCTGGGATGGGGGTTTCGGAGGATGCTGGGAATTTTGTTTGTGGGTTGTTGTATTATGCTATTTTGGCCGAAGTGAAGAAGAGGGGGGACGGGGAGGGGGTTAAAGCTGTGTTTTTGCATGTGCCGCCTTTGAGGACGGAGGAGGAGTTGAAGGTTGGTGAGAAGGTGGTTGAGGCGTTGATTCAGGCCATGGCAGAGGGCTGTGAGGTGTGATAGAGACCGCTTCACGATTCGTTCTGGTTTCTGTGGAGCTTGTCTTCACGAGTTGTCTCATATTTCTCGCATCTACGTCGATCCAACGAAGGTGTCTGCTACTTTGTTCAAGTCTAGTCCGCTTCAGTCCATGAGCTCTTTCAGCTTTGCCACTACCTCTGCGGAGCATTGCCCAGCTGGATCACCAATGCAAGCCAATGTCTCCAGAAATTTATCCTCCAGCCCGCCGAGCCCAAAGAGGCGTCGTGCCGCGCGTGAGTTGCGGATTAAGGGCGCAAAAACCTTTGAATTTGCTGCATGCGGAGCTGCGTTGAGCATCACGAGAAACATGGGATTCCATTCCAGTCTCTCGAGATTCGTGAAGCCGTGAGCGGCCAGTATGCTACACTTTAGGTCTGCCTTATTGATTGCGTCCATGATGTAGACGTAGCGAACGTATGGAATTGCCCTGGGAATCAGGCGCTGGAACTCGAGGACTTCAGAACCCCTGAAAGCAAAGCAAATGCTTCCATATAGGATCGGCAACGCTTCTTCGCAGACTTGGTGGCATGTGCGGAGTAGTTGAGGTTGGAGCTGAGGACGGGCTGACCAATTCAAAATTTCCTCCCATCTCATATCCCATCTTGACCTATGCATCCTCTGTCCCTCAAGTCTCACGTGAAATGTCGCGATATTTGGGTCCTCAATCAGGCATTGGGCGTAGATGATGTTTCGCAGTTCTGGCGGTAGATCGAGAAAGCCGGCACGTCTCCTCTGGGTATTCACGTGCGTTTGCGCTTCGCGGTATGTACCGCTGTTGAAGCGGTAAAGGGTGCTGATGGCGCTGAATTTTAGTTGCTGCTCAGCCATGGCCTGCCTTACAACACAGCTTTAGCATATTTTGATGGATGCGCTAACCGATGGGGGTGCTGACCTTCTATCTCGCCTTGCAGCCTGCGTCGGATGGAGGAAGCCCAAGTTCTGGCAAGATTACTGCGTGGTAAGAGATGCTATATGCGAGCTGTATGTTGAAGTTGACTGGGAATGAAGCGCACGTCAAAGAATAGATATCTGTGTCGAGAAGCGAGCGTCAAGAAGGTTGTCGTCTTGGTGATGCGCCGGCCCTAGTTTCGCGGCTGCCGTGGTCAAAGGAGGTAGGTAGGCATTCAGGAAGTCTCATGGGACCAAGAGCTCCTCTCGCGCCTGCTCCAGCACAATTTGAGCTCCTTGCTGACATGGAATTGTCGTGCTCGGATTCACGAACTCGCCATTTCCAGAAGTTTGGGCCGAAGGTCTGCAGAGCAGCTCCGTCCAGAAGAGGTTCTGGCTCCACTTGCCGGAAGCATTTGGCTGCTCTTGAGCTCCTCCACGCTCCGCTTGTCACTCGCATAACGTAGACTCAGCAAGCCATGAAGCTCTTCTACGATGCAGAGCCCCTAGATGTTGTAGAATGAGTCAAAATTTGCCCTCATATAATTTCAGCTTGGCACTTTGTTCAGAACTGCGAAGAACAGTGGTCCCCAGTTGCCGCCACTAGAATGGTCGGGCAGCACAATCCAGCCATGCTTGCTCTTCTCGGCCCAGTCTCGGATCAGTTGTGCTTCCAACACTTCGTCTCCGCGACCTTCGTTGAAGCCTACCTTCACGCTCCACTTGGCACCCTTCTTCCGTTCCTTCTCTACTTGCGACAGCATCTTCTCAATGACACCGTCATTCTCAGTTGGCTCGATGGAGCAAGTGGCATACATGACCGTACCACCAAGCCTGACTGCTTTTAGGCCAGCCATGAGCAACTTCAACTGAGTCTCAGCAAGTCGCTTCGAAGAGCCAGGACGCCAGTTCACCATCTCATCGGCGAGTCTGCCACCAGCTTTGGCTTTGATATGAGCTTGAATGATATGCCGCTCGGATGAGCATGGAGCGTCAACGAGCACCTTATCGTAGCCTACCGTGCCTGAAGGAGTGTGAACACGAAGCTCGTACTCTGCTTTCGAGTTCGTGCCATCCACGCGGAGAGCGGTGACATTCCGACCATCGAAGAGAGTTCTCGGTAAGTATCCATGAAGGTTGGCGGCCAGCCGTCGTTGTCTCGGCCCATCTGCTTCGTTCGAATGTAAACTTCCAATCTTCAGCGGACGCTGCTGCACGACTCTCTGTTTGGCTGGGCTGTCGTCGGCATGCAGGTGTTGCCAGATCTTCTGGGAAAGTGCTATAGACTTGCCTCCGGGAGCAGCGCAAAGGTCCAGAACATTGTCGCCATGTTGAACGTTGAGCAAGTGGGCCACAAGCAGAGAGGCAGCATCCAAATTCCAGTGCGTCTGAAGGTGGTCTCGTGAAGGATGCGGAGCTGGGAAAGGCTCACTGGAAGGGACTGCCGTCGGCGAGTCTGCAGTCACCTTTGTGTACTTTACGAAGCAGTTTCGTGAGAGGTCTTGATCGTCTTTGATCGACTCAATTGGAGGCAAAGGGAGTGGTCTGAGCTCGACGTCCGCACTGCTCACAGCCTGCTTGGCAATTTCAAGCGATGCATATCGATTCAGCATGCAGGAGTATCGCGTCGGCTTCTGCAGCGCCGGCAGCAGCGAATTTTGCCATCGTTCCTCGCCCCATATCCCCGCATAGTGTCTACTGAAAGAGTCTTCCGAGCTTGTGGCCGCCCTTCGCTGTGTTTTGGTCATCTCGAAACGCGTGCAGAGAAGGAAGTTTGTATAGAGGGAAAAGGACGATCTTGGCCTGAGGCAAGAACTTTCCGACAGCTCCTTCCTTTCCCGCCTTGGCAAGAAAAGTCCGCAGCAGCTTTGACAATTTCACGCCGAGCTTTCCACGACGATTGCGACGAGCAGCACATTCCTGCAACAAGCGATTACTGTATGGACTGCTCCTAGTGCAGAGCTATCATACACCTGCAATCACCCATTGCGCAGAGAGCACATTGTGGGATCAAAAATTGCTCAGAGGAGAGGAATTTGAAGGCGGGACAAGCTCAAAATGTCGTTCCGCGGTGGACGAGGCGGCGGTGATAGAGGAGGTCGCGGAGGCTTTGGTGACAGAGGCGGACGTGGAGGCTTCAGAGGTGGTCGTGGCGGATTCCAGCAATCATATGGCCCACCTGACCAAGTCTACGGTATATGCGACAAGATCTGGGATTTATGGCATACCACTAACACACTTTCAGAAATGGGCACATTCATGCATGCTACCGAAGGCGAGATGGTATGCGAATCCATCAACATTAAGATTCCATACTTCAACGCACCCATATTCCTCGAGAACAAGACGCAAATCGGAAAAGTCGACGAGATCCTCGGACCACTGAACCAAGTCTACTTCACAATCAAGCCACAGGATGGTATCCAGGCAACATCATTCAAGAACGGCGACAAATTCTACATCGGCGGCGACAAGCTGTTGCCGCTTGAGAAATTCTTGCCAAAGCCAAAGCCTCCGCCAGGCGCACCGAAGGTGAAAAAGCCAAGAGGCGCTGGAGGAGCAGGAAGAGGTGGACGTGGGGCCCCGCGAGGCAGAGGAGGCTTCACTCCGCGAGGCCGAGGAGGTGATCGTGGTGGCCGTGGTGGTGGCCGAGGCGGAGGCCGTGGTTTCTCTGGGAGCGGTGGCTTCAGTAGAGGAGGCAGCAGGGGCACACCAAGAGGTCGCGGTAGAGGATACTAGATCATGACAGAGCATTGGCGAAGGCGTTGGGTATGGCGTTAAGAGCGGAGTTTTCGGCGTCCAAAGCTCGAGATGAGTTTACTCGTGCCGATGCCCGTTTGGCTGGAGTGGCTACGGCTGCACGAATTGAAAATATCATGATAGGAAGGAGGCATGTTCCTGCCGCTGTTTCAAGTATCGAAAAGACTTGTACATTGTTGACAGAATTACCTCCTGCTTCGTTGCCTACCTCTTTGCTGACCACGTGTAGAGCGATTTTGCCGGTTGCCTGAGTTAGGTGAAAGAATGAATCGTTCAGAACAGAATCTGGACTTTTCGACAGCGCAAGAGAACGGCTTCGAGCGCTGCCACCGACGGTTTCGAGACCGAGCAAGGGCAAAGAAATGGATACGACCAAGATGCTGCAAGACAGAGCTTGAACGTCTCTCGGCAACAGTGCTCACAAATCCCAAAGGGTACGCGCAGTTGCGAATCATTCCCGGAGCATTCCCGAGCTTCTGCATACATGTATTCACTACCGGACAGGAGTTTTGTGCATCATCACGACCCCATTGCATGGCTCCGAACAGTCCAGCAAAACCAAGGAAGGAGACCCGAGTAGAAGACATCACAAACACATCGACTAGATCCACACCGACTCCGCAGCCCAAAGCGACGAAATGTCCTGCAACACAAAGCAAAGTCCATTCCCCTTCCTCTCCCTTCCCCCCGAACTCCGCGACCAAATCTACACAGCCCTTCTCAGCGCCCAACACTCCATCGACATCTTCCGCTACCAGAAACGCTTCACCTGCACCAAATCATCCGACTCCAATGACGAGAATCCTGAAGGCGTGCACATCCCAGTCTCAATCTTACGCATATGTAAACAAATCCACGCCGAAGCCACGCCAGTCCTCTACAGCAGCAATAAGTTCGTCTTCACGTTTCCGAGCGTCTTGACTGGATTTTTGGAAGGGACGAGGGCTGCGAGATGGATGATGGATGTTGCGATTAATTATCCTGGTAATCGAGTTGAGATACTGGGATCTTTGAAGGTGTTGGAAATGGGTGTGGTGAGATTGGAGAGGTTGGAGTTGGGAGGAGCGATTGGGAATTGTTTACTGCTGAGGAGATTACGGCGGAGTTGGTGGAGTTGGTGAGGAAGATGGGAGAGGTCAATGGGGATATGAATGTTGAGAAGACTTTGAGCAGGGCGGTGTTTGTGTCGGATGCTGGCGATCATACTCGAGCTTTGAGCCAGCTTGCGGAGAGGCATAGGATGGCTTATGAGGAGGAGGTGAAGAAGTTGTTGAGAGGAGAGTTGGAGGACAAGGACTGACTTCCATCGCTCAGTGCGACTTTTTGTTGCCAGGTTCACCGGCTTCACTCCTCATCAGTTCGCACAGCATTGCAGTATTCAGGAAGACGGATGAGGACCATCACAAGCATGATGGACCGCGAGCAAAAGCACGACATTAGTATGGGTTTCCCATCACTCGCGTGGCTGCATATCAGAGTTAGCTTCAGCAAGCACTTCCTTTACAATAACAAAGACTACCGATCATAGTCACAATGGGTAACACTCTATCCACTCCACGGAACTCGACTGTCCAGACCGAAAAGGCCCCCGTAGGCTTCTTCGACCTCTCCCCAGAACTCCGCAATAAAATCTACCGTCACGCCCTAGTCCTTCCCGAATCGATCCAGCTCGACCGAGCATACGACAACGAGAAAGGCACCCTCTTCGTCATTGACGACTACCAAGCAAAACAGCTATCCCTCCCACTCCTCCGCACATGCAGACAGATGCACCAAGAAGCGACCTCGATCTTCTACGGCGAAAACATCTTCCAATTCCACCATGCTTCCTGGATGACCATCTTCCTTCCAAAGCAGATCAAGCACTCCATCCAACACCTCCGATATGTTGAGATCATCAATCTCAACGACGACTTGCGGACGATTACTCGATATCTCAGTCCTGCGAAGAACTTGATCACTCTGGCGCTGCCGTACGATATGGTTGAAGATCTGTTTCTTGTTGAAGAAGATGATGAAGAGGACGAGGAGATCGAGATCGATCTTGATGACAGCGAGGAGGACGATGATAGGGAAATCGACCTTGATCAGGAATCCTTGACACCCATCGCTTTCCACATCGCGGAGCAACTCGAACCCTTCGCGCAAGCACTTTTCGAGACCCAGAAAGACGACCTGAAAGTTCTGAGCGTCTTCAAATTCCGCTATTGGGACTTGCTGAGTACTTCGTTGTACCAGACACAGCCTGCTCTGGCGCTTCAAGCTGCGGTTAGGGAATGCTTGCAAAGCATGCTCTCCGAAAACGATGACGGTCCAGCTTGTTGTACGGAAGTCTGAGCAGGAGAGTTTGAGAGCAGCACGTCAAGCATTGGGACTTTCGAGTAAAAATTGGAGATTTGAGCAGTGGCTCAACATGCATATGGGAAACAAAAGCGAGTTGTGAATTCGGTGAAGATGTAGCTTGGTTGAGGTTGATGAAATTTCAGGTAGGAAATACTCTACTATCATTAAAAGCGAGTACATCTGTAGCTTCAAATCGGTATTGGAGTTCTGTGCCAAAGTGATGGAATCCATCAACAACTTCAACATACTGCTTTCAGACCACGAGAGACAAAATTTGCCATCAGCACAGCCGATGTCCTTCACGGGTCAAGCACACACAGTCTCAGACGGTAGACTCATATTCTAAATTTGACTGGATCGTCCTTGAGCAATTACCATCACTACTCGCCACAGAAAATAAGAGTTACTTCGCTTCAGGCGTCACCATCAACCTGAACTAGGAGGAAATTTCCATTAAAAAACATCACATAGTGTATCTGCTAAATCATCACCTCACCCTACATGCATCCATCCATTCCACTAAAACCCCATTCCCTACCCTTCCACCCCCCTACCCACAAGCCTCCCCACCCGCATGCTCATGATACCTCACACACATCCCCCTCCCCATCCAGGGCTTACACCCACTAACATCATTCGGCAAATTCCATCCCTCACCACTATGCCGTCTCAAACACTCTCCACAAAACGCCTTCTCACACCCACAACACTTATCCCCACTAACGCCGGGCTTGAGAACCTCCTTACAACCCTCACACGCCTTACTCGTACTCCAAGACCTTGGCCTCCACGCCACAAGACTATGCCTCTCAATAGCTTCAGGGCCAGGCCTCTTCAATTTCACAACGAGTTCCCTTAAAAACCTCGGGTGCCAGTCATCTTTATGCGTTTCGAGGAGTTTATCGGTTTTTTTGTAGGCGAAGAGGTCGAGGATTAAGGTGCGGAGGGGGGAGGTGTCGCGGATGGTGTCGTAGAGAATCCAGGTGTCGCTGGGGGTGGGGACGGAGTTTGTGGATTCTGAGAGGCGGGCGATGGTGCTGAGGATGTGGTTGCTGAGGGGGGTGGTGAGGAGACGGTCGGAGAGGGCGTAGAGGTCGAGGAGGAGAAAGTATTTCGGGGAGCCGGCAGAGTTGCGGAGGTCGCCGTCGAGATGGGATTCGAAGTGGGAGGCGGGAGATGAGATTTGGGAGCCGGCGGGGAAGGTATGGGGATGGCCACGAGTGTAGACGCCGCGATTCATTGGGTCGATGGAAGAGGGTTGCGTGGTCAGGGTACCGGTGTAGAGCCATTGGAGAAACCATTCGAAGCTTTCGGGTTTCTCTTCGGGCAGGCGGACGACTTGTTCCATTCCTTCGGCGAATGTGCTGTTGAGTGCTGCGGCGAAGAATGGGCTAGCGCTGGTGAGGAGTTCTTTGTGGACGAGGTATTGGGTGTGTGGGCGGCTTTTGTTCCCTGTCTCTCCTACGATGACGGTCGCGACACCGGAGAAGTTTCGGAATGCGGTTCTGAGAAGAGGTCGGTCTGGTGAGCGACCTGGTCTTGGGGATCTTCTTGGCGGGGCGGTGACATCTTGGTCACCTTGCCGTGTGGACATGGATGTGTCGCTGGGTGCTGGGGACGGTATCTCGATGGCAGGCACGCCGATGTGGTGTACCGTCGTCGACATCGGCGGGCCGAAGATGTTTGGAGGTGTCACTGGCTGAGCAGGTAGAGCGCGAAACCAGACTGGTGTCTCGATGGGATCCAGGATGGCGGTGGATGTGTTGACGACGGTATATGATGAAGGCGAACGCCGTGATATCGCGCAAGATTCTTTCTTTGTCTTCTTCACGATGTCGGTTCCATCTGCTGATCAGGAGCAATAGCTTCGGAGCGGTGGTGAATAGCTGGGAAATATGCCCGAACACCAGTGAATGATGGATCTGAATGTCAGCACGAGGAAGAAGAATGGCAATGGAAGTGTATAGATGGATGGCTCGGTACAGTAGTAGCGACAAACCCGCAACCAGGATATCTGCCAAACCATTTTCGATGCATCTCGTTCTCAAACTGCATGTCTTTCTTTGTCGCATTCGGCCAAACACCAGTTCGATGCACACGCAGCCTTCCGCTTCCGGAACACAATGTCTGCGATTAAACATACGTTCTAATCTGCAAGAAAGGCAACGCTGCATAGTCGCGGCGTAAAATAACCGACACAGCGTTTGCTGAAAATTTGATGCATGGTCAGAGTCATACTTGTATTCATTGATGGGTGTCACGAAACAGCTTATTTGCCTGGTGCAATAGGCAGCAAGCAAGCCTCGGCGTCCTCTGGAATGCACATTGCGCATCTCCAAATCTTCCATTCCTCACGATCTCAGATACGCTTGGCGTTTTGCGAACGCCGATCCAATGCCTGTCCTGCTCCTCTGCGACTCCAAAACACCAATGCGAAGATCAATACACCGAGAAATCGCTTTTTCGCTATCCCATCCTTGCTCAAGTGTGATTAAAGAATGTGCTTTCCTTATCTCTGGGGTTCGAAGTCACCTCGCCTAGGGTAGTCATGTAAGCACTGTCCGATGGCAGGAGTTGAAGACCAGAAACCTAAGAGGAAAAAGGGAATATTGGAAAAGCCAGCCGTAATCGTATAGTACAGTTCTCCTCGTACACTCCAGATCGGATTCATCCGCACTTCTATCGTGGCATGATAGAGTTAGAATTCTTACTTGACTCACCCAGTCTCGAGTACAGCATGTAGAGAGCCATTTGATTGCATTCTTGGGTTCCAGTAATGGTGACGAGTCGCTCGTTGTTGTTGTCTTGTGGTTCGTTGATTTTGATGACACTGCCAGAAAGTTGTCTGATCTCGTTAATTTTCGCTCCTCCCTTGCCAATGATCGCGCCGACCATGTCGTTAGGAATGAAGATCTGTTGGGTGATGGGCTGGCCGGGAACCATACCCTGGACCGGCTGCTGAGGCGGCCCTGCGTGGGCTTGCGATGGTGCGGCATGACCATATGGCTGAGGTTGTTGAGGACCAGCGCCCACGTATGGAGCGCGAGGCGAAGCAGCACCGTAATGCATCGGCTGCTGAGGATGCTGCTGTGGTGGCTGGCCGTGCATGTATGGCTGTCCGTAAGGATTGGCCGGAGTTCGTGGTGGTCCATTGCTGTGCTTGCGGAAGTTATCCGGATGACCCATTTGACCGCCAGTGTTCTGAGGCACGTATGGAACTACCTGCATGCCGCCTGGGACGACACCTTGTGGGCCTCCATGACGGCCGGCATAGTTGGAGGCTGCTGGACCACCAAAGCGATCAGTCAACTGCTCAACGAGGGTGCTGCCAACGTAGTAAGTAGCGATGTGTACAGCGTCTGCAACACCAAGGACGACAAGAGAGCGCTCGGTGGACAGAGGAAGGCAGGATTCGGAAGCATTGAGTCGGGCACCAGACGCTTCTTGGATCTCGCGAATGCGAACGCCCTGCTTGCCGATGATGGAGCCAATAAGGATGTGCGGGATCAGAAGGCGAAGTGGGTATGTCTTGGACTGTGGTGTGGAGGCTTGCTCGAGAGGCTCTTGATTGAGGGTGCGAATGATGAGACCAAATGCTTTGGCAACAGCATCCACGTGACCACTGACCGTAAGAATGCGCTCAACTGCACCGCGTGTGTACTCGCTCACAGTGCACTTTGCTCCGGCCAGGCGGCGGATCTGGGTGACGTTCTCACCGCCCTTGCCGATGACGGTGGCAGCTTCCGCACTAGAGATGATGGCACGAACATGGAGCCAGTTGGACTCGTCTTGCTGATGATAGGGCATAGGAGCTGGTGCAGAGGCTCGGCTGTCCGATTGTCCATTGGCAGAAGGGGCGGGGTTGGGAGGCAGTGCATTGGGCGCTGGCGATTCTGTCGGAAGGCGGTTGCCAGGCGCATCAGGAACAACAGTGTCACCTTGCTTGTCGGCGTCATCGGCCTCTTGCTTCGCAATGACCGGTTCGGTTTCTTCTTCTGGCTTCGTCTCGGTCACTTCAGCTTCGGCGGGCGCAGGAGCCTCTGTCGGGAGAGCCGGTTCGGTGGGTTGCTCTGCCGGGATGCCATCTTCTTGGAGCACCTTGTCGAGTGCTGGGCGCTTTGCCTCGGGCTGGTCGGTGGGTGCAGAAGGGGAGGATGGCTCCTCGAGCGGGCGCTTCACCGAGGCGACCGGAGTCTCGTGTGGCGTCTCGGCCATGGCTATGAGAGGCAGAGTGTGGAAAGAGGCTCGGGATGTGCGGGTATATTGCTCTTGAATTCTCGCGCTGTCTGTCTGGCTTATCTACACGGGATGTGCGGTGTGTGGATGCAGGCGTCGGAAGCAAGTGATGGATGGTGGTGATGGTGTAGTGCGTCGTGCTGTGTCGAGGGCGAGGGCGAGGGCGAGGGCGTGAGACGGAAGTGCGCGGACTGGAAAGCGATCGCAAGGAGGAGTTGAGGCAGCAGTGGTGGTGATTTGGTAGAGAGTGGTGGTGGGTGATGAGAACAGATTGAGGGTCGCTCAAGGAAAAATCACCCAGATGATGCAGATGTCCAGCTCTTCAGGTGCTTGCCCGATACTCAGCCTTAGGTTGATGCTCCGAAGTGCGTCTGGCGTGTCGTCGCGCGTGGTACGTATGATTCAGGCGGAAGGCGAAAGGGACGCGCAGGGTGTCAATGGAGTGCCGCGAAGAAGTTGGCAGCGGGATCAAACGAAGGAACGAACCTCAAACACGGCGAAAGCTACTAGCCCGCTAGAATACCCGCTTTCCCGCTCCCGCTTCCCGCTTCGCTGCCAAAAGTCATCACACCCGAGTCACGCAACACGCCCGGCAGACGGCGGCAGTTGGAGATGAGACGTGGTACATATGGTGTCCACTGTCCATGTTTGCAATGCTTTTTATGCGTTGATAGTACACTCACTCCGCACACACAGAGATGGAACCGGGTTGTCGGTATGTCTTCAAGTTGCTGCTGCCATCAATTATGCCACCAAGGCTGCCGGACGAGATCCGTGCAACGTCAGCCTTTCACGCTCGTGTCACGTCCTGCTTAACACGCGCTATAAACAATTTCAGCGTCGTTCGACTGACTCCCTCTCAGACGCTGGTGTATGCCAGTTCGGAGAGAACAGCAGAAGCGTCCACGGTGCAGTCCGCGCCAGAGACGACCGCCTCCTTAAATAACTGCTGAGCATTGTCCAGCAGTCAACTGAAAGCGAGCACGTGTTCGCACTTCTGTACTCTATGTACACTCTATCCTCCCATCAACCTCTCAACCCACGGAATCTCCGCCCTCCTCTTCTCCGCCCCCCTGAACCAAATCGCACCAACCTCAACAGCATAAGCCCAAACCACAACCCTCTGCACCCATCCACCCTGCCTCTTCCCCCAAATCACCTTCTCCGCCAAACATCCAACACCCTGCAAGACAAACACCGCCCAAAGTCCCACCCCAACACTCCAAGCAAACTCCTCCTTGACCAAACTCGTAGCACACCAACCATGCCATATCCCACTTAATCCGAAAGCCGCCAGCACACCTGCAGCTCGACCAACCTCTCTATTCCCAGATATACTGTATGCCACTCTCTGCGCAGGAAAATACCCCAACCCCAACAGAAAAGGCTGAGCACCCTGATGCCATCTCACGCCCCAGAATTCTGACAAAGTCCGTGCAGCGAAAGGGTAGTGAAACAGTTTTCCCGATTGGCAATTACTTCCATGAAAGATCCAATGCAAGCCTTCTAAACCGAGTTGTATAACCACTAACCCACTTAGCACTTTGAATTCCGCTATTTGCGGAAGAAGGAGAGTCAACGGTATTGCAAGTACAGGGCCGTATTCCCATAACCAAGAACCTCTTTCTCGCCGAAGAGATGTTCCGGTTTTTACAGCGACATCGAAAGCCGCATATCGCGTCGAAGTTGTGAGGAGGCAGGTATATGCTAGACGATCCAGCCAGGAATCCGGTGCGTTGTTTCCAGCGAGGAAGACTGGAGGCGACGAGGCTCGAGCTACCGATAGGTCCAAAAGTTTACATCCGGAGAAAAAGGTTGCGACTCGTAAGAGACAGTCCAGGAGGGGATAAGTTTCGACTGGGTAGAAAATTGGTAAAGTGAGGATGTAGGTGCCGGAGAGTATGCCGATGAGACGAGTTGTGAGGGTCCATTTTTTGAGCGTTGGGGAGGGAGAGGGGTCTTCATCTTCTCGTGGTTGAGATTTCTTTTGATCGATTCTGGATTGAGCGGCTTGTGCATTCTTCGACGACTGTGAGGCGGCGAAGGATAAAGACAAAGTTGTAAGGAGATGGATGAGGATGGAATTATTGAATAGCCAAGTATATTTGGTGATCGAACTCGAGGTTTGAAATGTGGTTGTCAGTGGAAGGTAGAGGAGGATTGTGATAAATGGAAGTGAGATAGACAAGAAGATGGTGTGTTTGCCCATTTGAGCGTAGGACTTTTCATCGTGAGAGAGTGAGAGCGGAACGAAAGGGATGAGGTTCGTGGTTTGATGACAACATGGCCGCCGCCTTTCCCGATACAGTAATCCTTGGTGCCTTCAATTCTGAAGCCAACTGCATATGCTTTGGCCTTGTATTGTTACGAGCAGGACCCATGGATATCTTCGCGTGTCGTGGTAGTGGTATTCTGATGGACCAAACGCTAAATGTCGCGAAGCGCTAGCTCGTGCGAGCATGACATGATTTCACGCATCCGCCTTCATCACATCTGGCCTTGCCAATCTGATAGAGCCAACCTGTCCAAGGATCAAACAGCGCGATTCAGATCGAAGCATCCTCATCGCGCTCCTCAACCTTCACATCGCTTGTTCCGCCGTTCATGTACTTGTCTGCTTCACCGAGAAGTTTGTTCATAGCATCGTCTCCACCCTGGTCCTCAGGCTCGCAGTTGATCTTTTCCGTCTTCGCCTTCTTACCTCCTCGCTTCTTCGGGGTAGGCTCCTCGTCATCTCCGTCGTCGGTGGAGGCAGCGCGCTTCTTGCCAGCAGCGCCTTTCACCTTCTCTGGGGCTGGGCTGGAAGCGATGTCGCCACCCATGCCGGCCTGCGCGTTCTTTCTGGCCTTGTGGTATGCGGTGGTTGCGGAGGCAGCGGTCTTATAGTCGCACATCTCGGCCAGCTTCTTATAGTTGATCTTAAGACACCGTTAGTGAGAAGATTGGAGCTACATCGTGATGGGTGGGATTATACCTTTGGTTCGGCGTCAACACAGTAGAAAAGGGCCTTGAACAGCAGGTTCTTTTGGGGTTCTGTGAGGTTACCCATGGTCGTTCGCGGGTTGTCGGGTTGACGTTTGACTCGTTTAGTGGAAGTGGTGCTTGGCTAATGAAGTATTGGTATGTGAGTCGTGGTATGTGGTGGCTACTGCGAAAGCGTGATGTAGTTGGTGTTCTGACTGTCAGGGACAATATGAGGGTTTGTCCAGTTGTGATTGCGACAACTTGGAAGAATGAAACGGCTTTGCAGTCGGACTAACTTCACTTCAGCACTTGCATACTTTGAACCGACCTCACTTGTGGCAAAGATAGAAAGCACAGCTCAAATTTCATTTTGCATGCGCTGTAACACGCAGAATTGAATGCGATCGATGCAATCTCGCTCCGCCTGTGCTTCTCGCCCTGCCCGTCAAGTCAAGCCTACTGTCTGGCAGATCGTCCGAGGCAGAAACTAAGATCCATCCGATGTGAACAGCACAATGAGAGCCATGTCCAGGGTCGTAGCATCGCGTTTGCGCTTTTCGCGTTCCCAGACTTTTCTAGTATTCGAACGCCTCACCCTTAGTGTCGCCGTAGTCATTCCCATTCCCAGTCCAGCGGCGTGCTCCAGAGATTCAAGGATACTTTTTAGACAAAGAGTCACAAGTTCGCGAGTAGTATCCAGTGCCACACGACCCGACCTTGCAGCTCATAATTCTCCCTCCCGAAAATGTGCATTTCGACCACCTAGAACCCTCTGCCCCGTCCACGACCTCTGCCTCTGGGTCCGCCACGGCCACCTCCACGACCACCTCGTCCACCTCTCATGCCACCACCGCCAGCACCCTTATCCTGTTCCTTCCGTGCCTTATTCTTGGGCTTCGGTGCGTCATCAATGAGCAGTGTGTCAAGCGGCAAGCTGTCTGGGAGGATATAATATCTGATTTCGCTGCCTCTAACGCTGATGTGATCCAGACTGATTTGCGATCCGCCTTTTGGAGTCATCTTCGCATTGCGCAAGTTGGTATTCATCTGTGGGGAGACGGAAGCGATGGTGCCTTGGACGATGGTGCCTATTATGCGAGAGGGTCAGTTGGTGGGTTTCGTTGGTTGTGGAGGCATTTCTGGAGGGCCTTGAAGACAGACTTACCAGTCTTAAGCTCGATCGTGACCGTCTCGTTGGTGCATTTCATCAAGAACCTACCATGCCTGTCAGCCAGGCTCTTTGCGATCGTAGCCTTGAAAGCGGTTCGTTCAGCATTGCGCCAGAAAGGCTAGCAAGCGTGCGGGCTGCCTTACCTGACGAGCTTCATATCGGCGGTCGCGCGTTCTTTCGCGCGTGATCAGAGTGGCAGAGTCCGGTCCCGTGTTGGTGCGCTCGTGGAGTTGCAGAATTCACTTCCGAGGGGTGAGTCTGGATAGCAAGGCGGTCTTCACTTCTCGAAGTCGCATATTTTGGCGAGACTAGCGTCAAAGCTTAAGTCACGTGAGCCATAAAGTACGCCATATCACCACAACTTTAGCCTGGAAGCAGAGGATGGGGAACGTGAGGTGTTCAATAGATAGCGCTCAGGATATGATTCTCAATTTCAGAGTCATCGAATGTCATTGGTTCAGATGATCGCATGACAACATAGCAATCTCTGCTACAACCTGCCAACCACCTATCTCCCCTCATCGACCTTCTCCCACTCACTATCTGTACTGAACTCGCTCGGAGCCTTGTCAGAGTCATCTATCCTCCTCTGCCTGCTCTCGCTCCCTCCCACGATAGGCTGTACTCCACTAGCAGCACTATCGCCCGATCCAACCGGCGCATGAGCAGCAGCTCGCAGTGCTTCAATGATCTCGGCTTTCGCAGGCTCGCCTCTGCTCGATACAACATCAGGCTCTCCCAAGCTTGTCACGCTCTGCCTCATACCACCTTCAGTCTCCGTATTTTCGCCCTCATCGTCTGCAGCATCACCTTCTGCCGACCATTCTTTCTCTTGCTGTCGCTTCTTCCGTAGTCGCTCGGCTTCTACTTCGGCTTTCTGCGCGGCTTGCAATTCTACGGCGAACCAGTTGATGCTATACCATAGCCCTCCACAGAGCACGGACAGGATGGCAAAGTGTATGCTATAGGTCGCTGCTAGAAGGCCGAGAAGGAGGATTTGTAGAGCGCCGAATGTACAGTTGGTTGCGACCAGCAGAGTTGGAGTCGTGCCGGGCGTGAACACAGACTCCCAAAGGTTGGTGAGGAAATCGGCCATAGCCGTCGATCGAGGTGTGGTGTGGGCGCAAAGCTGGTGGAGTGGTGTATTATCTTGTGCTACAAGGTGCCGCTCCGATTTGTGTACTTCCACTTCGCGCTCGTTCGTATTGCGATATTACCATGCAAAGGTAAGTGTCTGTATCTTCGTTTTGTATTGAGCGCTTCGCACTGGGAGTGACTGTTCGGCAACTTCGTGATCCTTCCAGTCCGCTCAGGAGAAATAGAAGCAAGCACTTTCTAACCAATGTGCTAGTTGGGAGATGTGTGTCGAAGCTGTGTGTATTTGGATTGGGCAGAATTGGGTCTCTCCAACTCATACTGCCCTGCTCCGACTTCGTCATCACGCGCCGGCAGCTGTCACGCGACGGTGACGGTCAACTTTCCGTGTGCCGAAGACAGCTCCGCTGTTCAACCTTGCACCGAACATCATGCGATGCCAATCTCACCTACCACATCATTTGCATGTCTCTTCTGGTATGACCACCGAAGCAGCAAGCTCGCGTGAGAACGGCGGGCAAAAATGATGTTACAGGCGTTGGGAGAGACACTCTCTAAGCTCCTTCTCTGCACCTCATCATGACCACGGCTCCATTGGTCCTACAGTGTCACCTCACCTCGCCGAGCTCGGTAGCAAAGGCCGATTGTGCCGTCTCTCCGAAGCGGATATAATAATCCAAATGACGATGGTGCTGGACGCCATTGAAATAATGAAGGTTGACTTCAATAGCGGGGAAAGGTCCAGATTGTGCTCCGTGAAGCCTTACTGCCGAGGGAACAAGACGATAACAGCGATAATGCCACTACCTCCATTCAGGCGCTTCGTGGTTGAATTCGTGTGTATGCTGCTCGTGACTTCCATTTCTATACTATACTATATTAGGTTTAGCGCTATTCGAGATCTTATTCTAGCGAAGCGCCTAAAGCTAAACCGTTGCTAGCGGGTATAGGTTGCGTTACTACTACTATATTTTATATCGAATAGGCTATATAGCTTAATAACTATTAGTCGCAGTATAGCACTTTATAGAGACGGGACCTAGATAATTTAGCGATTAAGAATATCCGCTATTTTAATAAGCTAGTCGCTTTAGAAATGCTAAAGTTATTATCGATAAACGTAAATTACTACTCTCGACTAACTCGTTTACCTACCTCTATATACTTTACGAGCAAACAAACGACGCTCTTCTACGTTAATAAAGTATAGGGGGTCTACCTTTCTAGTACCCTCTATAACCTCCGCGTGTCTATTTACTATATAATTTAGTTATATACTCGCCTCGACTTAGTAGGGCAAACTAACCTTTTAGCCTCTAATATCTTTAACCTATATCCTAATCTCGATAAACCTAATACGTAGTTATAAACTTTAAGTATTCTATAAGCTCTGCCGCCTATTAAAGTACGCTAAATCGATAGTCTAATTTAGACCTTACCGCCGCCGGAGAAAGCTATTTAAACTATTCGAGGCTACTAATTAACAAGTTCGACTCGAGGTCTATCTAGTATCTAGTATCTAGTATCTAGTATCTAGTATCTAGTATCTAGTATCTAGTATCTAGTATAGCTAGCGATAAAGCCCGCTATAAGTAGCGCCTAGCCGAGAAGGCTACGCGCTAGAAGAAGTAGCAACTCGAGCGTTAAGAACTATATTAAGTACTACTACTAGGTCGCTCCGCTATTATATACGTACATTTAGACTTCGGTATCCCTCCGATAAAGCTACCTTAACTAAAGTTAGAATAGGCGCGGCACTTTAAGCGGCGTATCGAGAAGATTATAGATCTAGAGATATCCCTCGCGCGTATTTAAGAGTTAGTATAGCAAGTAGGCTAATTTAAGGAGACTATTTAGTACTAGGCGGAAATTATCGAGAAGGGCTTAACGAAACTCCTCGACTTTAAGTACCCTAGTTTAGTATTCGTTCCTATACTAGCGTAGAAGATAGTAATGTACGCACTTATCTATAGCTAGAATAATGTCCTATTTATTGCTCGTATAGGCGAGGGAAAGAGTCTGCTATTCTAGGGCTTTATAATGCTAACTAGTATAATTACTATCTAAGTAGTACTATTAAACTACTTAGGCGCCGAACAAGTAGCAGCAATCGAGCGTATAGCTAGCAATACTAGTAGTCTAGTCCACTTAGTATATATCTCTACTAAAACTAAGAAAATCGACCTAGGTATATTTAAGAACATCCTTAATAGTAAGCTCTAGCATATTCTACTTAGCCTAGAATAGGTAGCATTACCGCAATTTCTCTCGCTACTAAACGACGGGCGTATACGAGAGAAGGTCGGCCTAGTTGTTATCGATAAGGTATATCTAATCTATAACTAGAGTAAGCCTTCTAGCTTCCGCGATAAATACTCGTAGGTCGGTTAATTGCGCGATCGCTTACGTATCGACACTAGCACTCTATTAACCTCGGCTACTATAGATAAAGAGTATACTAAGTATACGATAAAGTATGCCGGTATGCGTAAGGAAGGCCCTAATCCGTATAAGACTAAGATTATCCGTAGTAGTATCGATCGCCTAGAAATTATATATATTATTAAGTTTATCCCGAGGGAGCATCTAACCGACTACGATATATTATATATAGTAATCGATAATACCGTATCCTATCTACTAATTCCTAATAGAGAAGAGAAGGAGATTACGAAGGGATTAGTAACACTATAGAATATGCGCAAGTCCTTAGTATTTATCGATAGCTATAAGTATATCGCTAACTTTGTCGATATCGCCTATAGCTAGTTGCTATATCTAACTAAGGATAATCCGGATCTAACTAAGAGGTACTAATATAGCCTAGTAGGTCTAGGCGTTAATACTACCTATACTATCTCCTTCTATACTACGAGGGTACTAAAGCTAGACTAGGACGACCGATATAACGAGTATTACAAATTAGACTCCGCTATTCGTTATATAGTAGCGACTACTATAGCAAGTATTAGGTTAGACGTGCCTAATATCGCTAATATATACTAATAGAAGTTTAATATTACTCGCAATCCTAGAGACCTTTAGCAACGACTTAGTCGTATTACTCGGCGACTAGCTCTATTAAATATAGAGGGATTCTTCGATAAGCCGCACTTCTATCGACCTCGTATATTCTTCTTCGTACTATACTATACCGAGGACTATATTAAGCGTATACCGGAAGGTGCTAGTATGCTTTCTATCCTTCTACTATCGCAGTCGTAGTCGTAGTCGTAGTCGCAGTCGCAGTCGTAGTCGCGTAGTCGTAGTTGTAGTCGTAGCCGTAGTAGAGGTAGTCGCGGCAGAGGTACTCGTAGTAGAGGCAGAGGTGTATATACTACCGGACCTAGCAGGTTGCGACAAGAGCTTCCTAGTAAGGATGTTAGTAGTACGAGCGACTAAGACGATATATATAGTAACGCTAATACTAATGCTAGAGATAGTGCTTCTAGAGGCCGTAAGGGCAAATCTAAGGAGAGTAATATATAGAATAAATCTAAGCTAGAGAGCCGGAAGAACATTCTAAAGGTCTTCTTAGGTACGCTAAACAATTACCTAAAGATACTAGGCCGCTACTTTCGAGTAGTAATAAATAAGCACTATAGCGAACACTTAACCTAGTTTCCGCACCTACTAGGCTAAGTAGATAGAAGAGATTGCTACAACTTCTATAATACCGATCTAATAGCTAATCTACCTAAACTACTAGCTAAGCGCGTTAAGCTAGTTAACCTACTAGGCAAAGGTATAAGACCGAGCTTTAGGCTTAAGCATATTAAGGACTAGTGCTTAAAGAAGATTAATACCCTATATCCGCGTAAGAACCGCCTATTTCGTATACTAGCTAGTATATATATAAAGGATAGACTAATATAGTCTATATTAGAGGTCTTCCTTCTCGCTCGGTTAATAGATATATAGGAGGATATAAATCTTAGCAAAGATCGGTTGCTATAGGTCGTACTAGAATTGAATAGATAGTAGTATAAGGATACGGATCTCGACGAGCTACTTACTATTATTATTAGTATTGCTAAAGCTGTATACGCTAACTAGGATGCCTATAAGGCAGAATAGAAGGCAAAGCAGGATACTGTAGCGAAGGCTATCGTAGATGCTACTAAATAGGTAGGAGAAGAATAGGGTCCTAAAGGTAGTTTAGCCGATCTACGTCTAGTAACCTATAGGACTCTATAGTAGATAGAGGCAGAGCAGCGTAACCTAAACTAGTTATTAAGGCGATCTGCCTTTGCGAATACTATGCGCTAGTCCGGTATATAGGGTAGCCTAGCTTAGTAGGCTTAACAGACTTAGTAGGCTTAATAGGCTTAATAGGCTTAGTAGACACCTGCTACGGCGGCGGTACCTTCTAACCCTCCTTCTAATAGTACTAATCCTGCTAGGCCTTCTACCGACACACTACTAGCTAGGAAGCGCTAACGCTATAGTGCTTAGCTATTAGGCGCCCGTCGATCTGCCTCTACCTCTATTTCTGCCCTTGCCGAAGAGGAAGAAGAAGAAGAAGAAGAGATAACTGTTAATAAAGCAACCGAGCGGTTAATACAAGCCTATATTAGTCGTCGTAGTAGTCGTAACATTCGCATTCCTATAGCTACTAAGGGTCTATATAGCGAGGGCGCTCGTACGAGAAGCCTAAGTATAGTAAGCAGTCGTAGTAGTAGAGTTAACGATAACATCCTGTCCTAGTATCTACCGAGTAGGCAGTAGATAGTTAAGTTGCTTCTACGAGAGAGCTAGTTAAGTTGCTTCTACGAGAGAGCTAGTTAAGTTGCTTCTACGAGAGCCGGTATATAATATAGGATGCCTAGTTTAGCTGCTTCTACGAGAGCTAGCCTAGTTTAGCCACTTCTACGAGAGCTAGCCTAGTTTAGCCACTTCTACGAGAGCCGGTATACAACACAGGACACCTAGTCAAGCTGCTTCTACGAGAGCCGGTATATAATGTAGGATGCCTAGTTAAGCCACTTCTACGAGAGCTAGCGCTAGAATTGGCATTTAATAAGGTCCTTCCTTACTACCCTTCTATTATATCCTTATAAGCTCGCTAAGCAGGCTCTTCTATTATGTCCTCGTAAGCTCGCTAAGTAGGCTCTTCTATTATGTCCTTATAAGCTCGCTAAGTAGGCTCTTCTATCGTATCCTTATAAGCTCGCTAAGCAGGCTCTTCTATCGTATCCTTATAGGCTTACTAAGTAGGCTCTTCTATCGTGTCCT